TCTTCCCCAAAGCACCTTTACATAAGAAAGTGATATATTGATGGGTAGGGAGTTTAGAGACTTGGGTTTGTGTCCTGACTCTGTCCTTGCCCTCTGTCCACCTCAGTGTCCCCACCTGTGAAACTGACAAATGTAAGTGTAACCTGTTAGCCCTGAAACTGTAGGGTCTCACAGTGGTTAAAAACGTAAGTTTTGAAACAAGAAGACTGGTTTTGAACCCTGGCTCTGCCACTTGCTTGCTGTGTGACCTCAAGCTAATTACCTAACTTGTCTGAATCTCATTTTCACCTTCCAAAAAGGTGGGTTTAATGATACCTACTTCCTGGCATGGTTACAAAAATCCATTAAACTAATACATATAAATTACTTTGTACACAGTAAGTGTTTAAGAAATGGTAGTTGCCACTACCAATAATGAGATAACATAGCAAGTACAATTATTTCCACTTACAGCCAAGATACAGGATGATAAGAGAGGTTGGAGGACTTTATTGGTCTGGAGTCAGTCCAAGTATGGGTGTTTTTTTTAAGAGCTCCCAGGTGAGTCTTTGAGGAACTCTGCCCTACAGAAACTTTCACATGCGTGCCAAGGAATCAGACAAGAATTTTACTGCAGTGCTGTTCGTAATAGGGAAGGACTGGGAATGGTCCAATGCCCATCAGTAGGTAAATGGGCAATAAATTCTAAATGGAATACTACACAGCAGTGTAAAATTAATGAAGCAGAACTAAGCGTATTAACATGAATATAAATTTCTAGAATATAATGCTGAGCCTCCCCACAAATGCAGTAAAATACAGAGAGTATATAAAACACATGAAAACATGCAGAACATTGCTATATATTATTTAGGAATATATACATGTTGGTGAAATCAAAAGATCATGCATAGATATAATAAGCATCAAGTTCAAGCTGGGGGTCACCTCTGGAGGGAGGGACGTGCATGTAATAGGGGGAAGGGGCTGCTCTGGAGCTTCGGTGCACTGGTAATATGATAGGGTATTTTTAAACCGGGGGGCAGGCACACAGGTATCTACTGTACTGGTTATGCCCTCTGCCTGTCTGAAATATTTCATAATTTAAAGATAAATATGCATGGAAAAATATCCACTGTGCATGGGCATTTTTCTTCTTGTTATTTGTGCCTTCCAGTATATCTATACTGATCTGACTTGCTTTTAAGAAATAAAGTAGTTAGTTATTTAACAAGAAAAAAAGCAGTCATGTTTAGTTTTTTTTGAAAGTAAGAAATAATCACATCTGCAAATGACTCGCTCTGGAAACAACAGTTATTTCCATGTCTGAGATCTTAATGGGTTGATGAAAATCAGTTCAACACAGTATGGCATGGTACATCCTGAGTCCAGAGCATGAGCCATCAGCCCAGGGACACCCACACAGGGTCCCCAAAACTCTGTCTCTTGACGGTGCCTCAGAAGCTGAACCCGGTCCCACTGGGTGTGCCTGGTAAGGAGTTTTAGTCGTCAGGGAGCAGGGCTGCTGCGTTCTCTTCCTGCAGCATCTTTGAGTTAGAAGAAGGAAAAAGAAATATCCAAGCAGGCTGGGAAATGAGAGGGACCTGGGAGCGAAGGGAGAGACAGCCAGCAGGGTATGTCTTCTTTTAAATAAGGGGGAGTCGTTCCTGTCCTAATACAACACAGCCCCCGGTCGGGGAGGCTGTGGTTCTCTCAGCAATCTAATCTGCCTCTGCCAGCAAAAGTGCTTGAATGTTTCTTAAAGATGCATAAAGGTTTTTTTGTTTTGTTTTGTTTTGTTTTGTTTTGTTTTGTTTTGTTTTGCATAATGAACACATTTCCCATGCAGCCACTTCCTTTGGTTCTTTGTCAAGGGCCAAGGTTAGCTTTTAGAAAAATCCTCCGTGGGCCACTGGGAGGCAATTTCCACCCAATACAGAAACTTAAGAGGGAGAAAGACAACTTTTCAATATTACTTCACGGGCCATATTTTGTGCATTTAACACAACGGAATGCAGACAAAGTCAAGAAGGAAAATTGTGTTCTACTGACAATGGGGAGTAAATGGGAGAAGTGATGCCAGGTGAATTAGTGCCCCCTGGTGTCCACGAACAGTGTTGCACACATTTGCTGGGAGTCGTTTGTGGGGTGGCTTCCTGTGTTCCCTGCTACCATCTCCTGCCTATTTTTTTATTTTATTTTATTTATTTTATTTTATTTTATATTTTATTTTATTTTTTATTTTTTATTTTATTTTATTTTATTTTATTTTCTTATAGCCATTTTCAGGGACCTTAATGACATCAATGTCTTGAAGGCCCTTATCATTTGCCAGCTTTCTCTAAATTTCTGCAGAAACACATCCAGGTAAGCAGATTTATTAGCTGGCTTCCTGCCCATTTTGAAAGCCTTTAAGCAGGAATCTGGCAGCTCTCCGTAGCCAGCTGACAAACATGCCAACTGTTTAAAAATCTGGAGATTTTGTTTAAAAATCTAGGCCTGACACTTTTTTTGAAAAATTGGAAAATCTGTCAACTTCTGGACTACATCCTAGCATAATAAATGTAGGCTAAAGCTAAGAAGCTGCTGCCAACTTTGGACAAGACAGGGGCTCGCACATTCTCCACACTCGCCCCCACCCCTGTCCCTACTGTCACATGCCTGGGCAGTTTCATTCACTAATGGTTCTTTTATAGCTTCTGGATTTGCTACCATAGCCTAAGCTCACTGAAGAGTGTGCACTGGTATCCCAAGAAGGAGTGAGGAAAGGATGGCACTTTTAAAAGCAGATGATTCCATCTCCTCTTGCCTAGGAGTGGGACACAGGTCCACAAGCTCCGTAATACCCAGTTCAGTGAAGGTAAGGGACCTGCTCAAGGTCACACAGCTAGTAAGCAGTGGGCACTGCACTGGAACACACATCTGTCTGACCGCAGAACCTCACTGCTTTCCGTTCCACCAACCACCCCCCATAATTAGCTGGCTGCATCGCAGGTTTTCTCTCCTCCAGGAAAGGGTTTTACGTCACTGCGAGGGCCGTCAGAAGCGAAACCCAGGGGACATGGAGAGAACAATGTTCAAGATCTTTGTTCAAAAGGTAGAAACTAGGAGCCCCAGATATAACCACCATCCTAATTTCGTTTCTTAAAACTCCATGGTTGGTCCTACTTCAGATATTTCTTATTCAAGTCAAAAAAATTTCTCAAGCACTTACCCCATGCCATTCTCCATGCCAAGGGCTGGGAGTTGGGGAAATTGGGGGCCAGTTATAAGCTATAAACAGGGAGCCCAAGCAACAAGAGCCAAAGCTGCTTGGTCCCTCATCTCCCAGTATCCCCACATAGTGTCCTTAATGACAACATACCTCTGGCCTGGGCCTGGACACTTCCTTTTGTGCTGTGAGTCAGCGGCATCCCTAAAACTGGAATCGGACCGAGACCTATGAAACGGCGATGGGGTCTCTCTCCAGTGGATGAAGCAAGCTGCAGCTCTGACAGTGTTTTCTGCAGATAGCAAATAAAACAGCAACGACTTAGTGTCTCTTCTAGGAATAATTGCAATAACACACACTTACCACTTTGCTCTCACACAAAACCCTAGAGGATGGACTGTCACTACACTGTCCCCATCTTACGCAAACAGGATCAGCAAGGTCAAATCGCTGAATGCTCTCAGTTTGCAAGTGGCAGACGTGGGATCTGAACTCAGGGCTGTGTGACTCCAGTGGTGACACCCACCACCACTGCCTCGGAGTGGCTCCCCGAAGGACATGTGTGTTATGGAGGAGAACAGATCTTGAAGGGCCAAGCCTTCTGCTGCCGGGCCCGAGCTAGGCTGAAACAGGGAAGCTGGGGATGCCACCTCACAGCCTGCTGCCCCACAGCTGTGCTGCTTCACGGCTGAGCTGTTTTCACTGAATGGCTTCCCACTTCACCACTGCCCACACTGGCGACTCCTGCTGGCATTGAATTGACACACACAACCGTCGGTTGACATAACATCTCAATGTGTAGAATTGCTGGGCATGTTCTGGATCTTTGGTTTCAATATTTGTGAACTAAGATGGAGGTTTCAAAGCAAAAGAAGAAAAAGATGGCAGTTTCAAACAGTGTGGTGATTGCAGGGGTGGGGGAAGATGGAGGAGGGTATAGAGACGAACGGTGATGGACAGTGTACAGATGATGTGCTGCCGAATTGTGCACCTGAAACCTGTATAGTTTTGTTAGCCAGTGTCATCCCAACATATTCAATAAGAAGGAAAAAATAATAAATACAAAAAGAGAAAAAAGTGGAGGTTTCAGTTTTCTGCATGAAGGGAAAAATCCTCTATCTGGGAAGCCAAAACAAGCAGCCAGGCCTTTCTCTGGAGGATCCAAACTAAAAAGTCAGGGAGGAAAAGAGAGAAGGCGAGAAAAAAAAGAAAACGCAACGCTGGTAGCAGAGAGTAGAGGATAAGAAGTGGGCTGTGAAGTCAGGCTAAGAGGGTGGAGAGGTGCAAACCACCAACATCCTCATATTACACCTAAGGAAACTGAGGCCAGGAGAGATGCCCCCGAATGAGACCTGCGGGAAGGGCAGCAGTTCCAAGCTCGCAGAATTCAGTTTCCCAGTTTCCGTGCCTGCCGCTACCGCGCCCCAAAACCGTATCAGTGCGGGGTTTTCCACAGCTGCTACTCCCGCCTGTCGCTCAGGCCTCGCCCCTCCTGGTGTTTATTGGCTTCTACCAGCACGAGACCAACGCAGAAGCCAGCCAATGGGAGTGGCCCACGGCGAGACTTTTCCCGGGAAGCTGACGGCGACGCGAGAACACGGAAATGCGAGGAGCGGACCAGTGCGGGAAGCCAACCCGACGTGACGAAATGACCGGTCGACCAATGGCAAGCCGGAGGGGGCGGGGTGAGAAGGCCGGCAGCGACGGAGGAGGGTTGAGCCCGCCGCGGAGCTTGCGAACGCAGCGGAGGCAGCGGCAGGGCCGGGCGGAGGTGCGCGGTGAGGAGGGGGCTAGCCCGAGGGACTTGGAAGGAGCGAGCCGGGAAGGGTATGGTAGGACAGAGGGCTCTGGGCGGGGTTCGGAAAGGAGCAGCTCCCCAGAATGACCTTAGTACAACCCTCTCCCCTCCCTGGGCCTCAGTTTCCCCCTTCCTAGGGTAGTGGGGGATGAGAGATTTGCGCCTTCCGGAAAGCACATCCAGCTCTTCGCTCACACCCGTCACCGGCGAACTCCAGCCCCGCCGAAGAGCCCGTCCCTCTGGGAGAACGCGCGGACCACCTGGACGAAGAGTGACCCACACCGTCTCCGTACCCCCAAAGGGCGCCAAGCGTACCCCCCATTAGAGCGCGTACCAAGCCATTTCTGATACTCAGTATCAACGAGCCAGCATCCACCCCGCGCCCCCGCCGTTAGACCTACAGCCCTGAGCGATGGGAAACGTAGCCAGCCATCTCCGGTTCTTGGAGGCCTAGCACCAGGAGCTGCCCGGAGCAGGTGCACAGGCCCCGTTTGTGGATACGATAGAGGTGAAGCCTCGGGCAGCCTGGACTCAGATTCGTTCCCGGTGCTTCTGTTTACTCCTTGTGGGCCAGGGAATTGACTTGCGCTGTCTGTGGCTTGTTCCCCGCTTCTGTAAAACGGAGCTGGGTTAGCTTTCCTTCCGAGGGTACTGAGGGTTCAGTGAGGTAACGCAGGGCTAGCGCTCAGCTCAGTGCTCAGCACGCCGTAGTTGCCCAATAAATGCTTATTGTTAGCATAATGGTGCTTGTATACCTGACCCGTCCACTTTCACTGCCAGTCCCTAGCACAGACCCCCTGTCACAGAGGGCAAGGGGTCGCTGTCTCTGGGCCACACCCTGAGTTCTTTTTGAGCTGTTAGACTGCTCAGACTTTAGACGGCATCCCTGCTGGACAGGCCAGAAAAGGAAGACCAGAGGGGATAAGCAATGCAGCTGCTAGGAGGGTGAGAGCAGGAAGAGGTGACCAGCCATGTGACAATAAATCAGACCCCCAAACAGTTGTGCTTGTCAAGGAATGGGCCTCAGAACTGCTTTCGCCAATCTGAGTATGTGTGTGTGGTGGTTATTTTTGTCCCAGACACTCAGTGTTTGTGGTCAGAGGCCACAGAATTTGTGAAGGGGGTAGACTTTAGAGCCACAGGGTCCTGAATTCAAGTCCTAAGGCTGTCACTTGCTCACCGGGTGACTTCAGGCAAGAGGCTCTTCCCTCCTCCGAGCCTGTTTCCTCATCTGGAGAGTGGGGTGGCAATAGCGTCAGCTCCTGTTGACGATTGCAGAAGGGTGGGTATGTGCAGGTCCTTAGTGCTTAGCACACGGCCTGGCACACCGTAAGTGCTTAATAAATGCTGGGCAACTGCAGCATTGCTTTTCAGACACACCACCATGGAGGTGGTACCAATCCTTCCAGGCTGGCCCCTCCCCATTAATATCCACTCCTTGCGTGCCCCCACCCCCGGTCATAGTGAGTTAAGAGGCGTGGGGGTCTCCAAGCTGTAGCTGGAGTGAGAAATGTATCCTAAACGTACCAGTTCCCCGGCCTCATCTCGTCCTCTTGGTTCCTTTCAGGTCCAGCTCTCTCAGACAACTGTGGGTATGAGCAAGGGGGCCACCCCTGAGTCCAGATGACACTCATGCCAATGGCTTCCGTGATGGCCGTGACTGAACCAAAATGGGTCTCAATCTGGGGCCGCTTCCTGTGGGTGATGCTGCTGAGCATGGTGCTGGGGTCCCTGCTGGCCCTGCTGCTGCCGCTGGGGGCCGTGGAGGAGCAGTGTCTGGCCTTGCTCAAAGGCTTCTTCCTGCTCAGCAGCAAGTTGGACAGGGCACAGCATGCCGTCTCCAAGTGTGCCAGACCATCCACAGAGCTCAGTGTCACCTCCAAGGATGCGGCACTGCTGGTGGTCAAGAGCAAGTCCTCTCCGGGTAAGAGAGATGGGTCTCTTTTTGGGGGATTATGCTACATTTATGTTATCATTTGTGTTCTTTACATTTTTTAAATTAAAATTATTGGGGCAACATTGGTTAATAACAAATTTTAGGTTTACAACTTGATAACATGACATGTGTTCATTCTGTGTGGCGACACTGGTTAATGAGGATACGGAAGTTTCAAGTGTACAAGTCTATAGGACATCGTCTGCATACTGCATTGTGTCCGTCACCCAAAGTCTGGTCACCTTCTGTCACCATAGGTGGACTCCCTTTACCCCCTTTGTCCTCCCCATCCCTCTTTCCTTTGGGAACCACCATTCAGTTGTCTGTGTCTGTGAGTTTTTGATTGGTTCATTCATTGCTTTATGTTTTATATCCCACATACGAGTGAATTTATATGGTTTTTGTCCTTTTCCCTCTGACTTACTTCACTTAGTATAATACTCTCCAGATCCATCCATGCTCAGTCAAATGGCAATGTTTCATCTTTTTTTATGGCTAAGTAGTATTCCATTGTATGTATGTACCACATCTTGATCCATTCAGCCATCATAGGACACCTGGGTTTCCATGTTTTGGCCACTGTGAAGAAGGCAGCAATGAACATAGGGCTGCATATAACTTTATAAATGAGTGTATTCAAATTTTTCAGGTAGGTACCCAAAAGAGGGATTGCTGGGTCATATGGTAATTCTGTTCAAAGTTTTTGAGAAACCTCCACCTGTTTTCCATAGCGGCTGCACCAGTTTACATTCCTACCAGCAGTGTGTGAGGGTTCCCTCTTCACATCCTCCCCAACACTTATTTCTTCTCTTGATAGTAGCCATTTTACCAGGTGTGAGGTAGTATCTCATAGTTTTGATTTGTATTTCCCTTATAACGAGTGATGTTCATTTTTCTTTAAAGACTTTATATATATTTTTAGAGAGGGGGAGAAACATTGATGTGAGAAACATCGATCAGTTGCCTCTCACAAGCACACCGATCTGGGATGGAACCCACAACCCAGGCATATATCTTGACTGGGAATTGAACAGGTGACCTTCCGCTTTGCAGGATGTCACCCAACCGAGCCACACTGGTCAGGGTGATGTTGAACATCTTTTCATGTATCTGTTGGCAATCTGTATGTCTTCCTTGGAAAAGTTTCTATTCAGATCCTTGGCCCATTTTTTTAACCAAAATTTTTTCATTTGGTGTTATATGAGTTCTTATATATTTTACATATTGGCCTCTTATTGGAGGTATTGTTTGTAAATACTGTCTTCCACCCCACTGGTCACCTTTTTGGGGTTTTTTTTTTTTTTTTTTGCTGTGTAGCTTTTTAGTTTCAGTTCTTCTTTTTTTGCTTTTACTTCCCTTGACTTTGGGGTCAAGTTCATAAAAACTCCTGAGACCAAGGTACTTAAGTGTAGTGCCCATATTTTCTTCTATTTTATTGCCTCAGGTCTTATATTCAAGTCCTTAATCCATTTTTAGTTAATTTTTGTGCATTGTGTCAGCAGTTGTTTCATTATTTTGCATGTGGCTTTCCAGTTTTCCCAGTGCCATTTATTGAGACTCTTCTTCCTCTATTGTATGCTTTTGGCCCCTTTCACAAAAATTAGTTGCCCGTGTATGCGTGGGTTTATTTCTGGACTCTCAATTCTGTTCCATTGGTGTTTTTCTGCCTGTACCATACTGTTTTGATTACTGCAGCTCTGTGCTTCTGCCGCATCTCCGAAACGTTGGTATGTTGTATTCTCATCTCCCAGCTGTCTTTACTGGGCTCTGCCAGGGCATAGGGGCAGGGGAGGCAAGTCTGCCATCTCACGACTCTGCTGCACCCCCGCCCCCGGCAGCAGCAGCAGTCAGCGGAGCTGTGTCAAGACTTCCCAGCTGCCCCTACCTGCCTTTGCCTGGATGGGGAGCCAGGAAGGGAGCTGCCTCTTCCTGGAGGCAAAGCGCCCTGCCCACGTTACACTCCAGGCTGTAGTGTGAGGGCTGCGGCATGACTCCACCGCCACTACCACACTCGCAGCAGCCAGGGTGGATGCTGAGCCTCACCCGCAGCCACTCCCTGTCCTTCCCCGATCCTGCCTCCCCTGCTTCCCATCCTCGGATGCCCCTGTGCGTGGATCTTTCGGGCACATCTGTACATTGAGCAAGGGATCCTTTTTTCAGTCATAGCTGTCTGACTTTTTGTACATTACAGGGGAGAAACCATGGAGTCCTCCCGCTCCCCCATGATGCTCACATCACTCTTTTCAACACTCGCTAATGCAATAGATATTTAGTGTCTACTATGTCCTGTGTGCAGGGCCCAGGGTATCACAGTCAAGAAGTGCGCCCTGACCTCCAAGCCTAGACAAACTGGTGACTGATACTGCGCCACCAGTGTGGTGAGCAAAGAGGGCCACAGGAGCACACCAGGAAGGCTCCCTGGAGGAGGGGATGCCGAAGCTGAGACCAGAGTGTGATCAAGAGTGACCGAAGGGAACAGTCATGAGGGGAGAGTGCTCCCACAGAGACCAGAGGGTGAGAGAGCCTCAGGCACTTGAGGAACTAAAAGCAGCCCAGTTAAGTGTGGCTGACACCCGCTTGGTGGGGGAAGCCCGTGGAAGGAAGACTAGGTGTCGAGCAGGGGGCAGCTGAAACCACTCGGTTAAAAGAATTAAAGGTCCCAGGATGGGGAGGCTTCACGGGCTAGTACCAGTGGGGAGCTATTCACAGCCTGGCGTAGAGAGGCAGGGGAGGCCCCACCAGGACGCAGGGAGGGCCAAGTGATGGGACTTGGGGCCAGAGAACACAGCCGCTCCATGTGGCAGGCGGAAGGCAGGGGGGCCAGGTGATGGCTCCCAGGGCTCTGGGACAAATGGAAACCAACCAGCCTGCCACCCCGTGGGGCTGTGGGGAATAAACACATCCACACATGCAGTAGTACTGCGCATGCTGAAAGGCCTGAGCAGCGTGACTGGAACTAGCCCCGAGGCCACGGCTTCCCCGGGGCCTGGCACAGGTGGCCAGTCACCTGAATGCACCCTGCCACTCCCTGCCCTCCCTGACTGTGCTGCTTTGGCTCTTTTCTAGTTGGTAAGTCGGAAGCCAAAGCAGCTCTGAACCAAGCCCTGGAAATGAAACGCCAAGGCAAGCGGGAGAAAGCCCACAAGCTCTTCTTGCATGCCCTGAAGATGGACCCAGACTTTGTGGATGCACTCAACGAGTTTGGCATCTTCTCAGAAGAGGACAAGGACATCATCCAGGCAGATTATTTGTACACCCGAGCCTTGACCATCTCGCCCGACCACAAGAAAGCGCTGATCAACCGGGACCGGACGCTGCCACTGGTAGAGGAGATCGACCAGAGGTACTTCAGCATCATCGACAGCAAAGTAAAGAAGGTCATGTCCATCCCCAAGGGCAACTCCGCACTGCGAAGGGTCATGGAGGAAACATACTACCATCACATCTACCACACGGTTGCAATTGAGGGCAACACGCTCACCCTGTCAGAAATCAGGCACATTCTGGAGACCCGCTATGCTGTGCCAGGGAAAAGCCTGGAGGAGCAGAACGAGGTCATTGGCATGCACGCAGCAATGAAGTACGTCAACACCACACTGGTTTCCCGCATCGGGTCCGTCACCATCAGCGACATATTGGAGATCCACAGGCGGGTGCTGGGTTACGTGGACCCCGTGGAAGCCGGCAGGTTTCGGACAACACAGGTCCTCGTGGGACACCACATCCCGCCCCATCCTCAAGATGTGGAGAAGCAGATGCAAGAGTTCATACAGTGGCTCAACTCTGAGGATGCTATGAATCTGCACCCTGTTGAGTTTGCTGCCTTGGCCCATTATAAACTTGTTTACATCCACCCTTTCATTGACGGCAATGGAAGGACCTCACGCCTGCTGATGAACCTCATCCTAATGCAGGCGGGCTACCCACCCATCACCATCCGCAAGGAACAGAGATCTGAGTACTACCACGTACTGGAAGTCGCCAATGAAGGCGACGTGAGGCCGTTCATTCGCTTCATTGCCAAGTGTACGGAGACCACCCTGGACACCTTGCTCTTTGCCACAACAGAGTACCCGGTGGCACTGCCTGAGGCCAAACCCAACCATTCTGGGTTCAAGGAGACACTACCTGTGAAACCATAACCCTTTAAAGCCTCCCTTAGTGTGGGATTTCCAGGGGGAGGAAAAAATCAAAACTTAGGATTTCTAGAAACCTTGTCGTTTCCCAAAGCAAAAGGAGACAGATAAGGAACTTAAACGTTCTTTACCTCCATTTTTTTTTTTTTAAGAAAAAAACTAAATTATTAAGCCTTGTCTCTAAGATAACTTATAATTCAGCCAAGTTATTTATTTTCTTCTTTTGAGCTAGTGATGTTGTGTCTGCCATCCATGCTGGTGGCCCATGCTTATGGTGGTCCCAGCAGGCAGTGGGGGCACCAGTGTTCTTTGCATGTGACCAGAACAGGTCCCGGAGCAGAATTTGCACTAAGGTGGGGAGAGGCCAAGACTGGGATGAGATCCAGAGACAGAGGACTAACTCCCCCAAGTCTTTCTCTGAAACTGGTTAAAAGGTTTTGTGACTTTACCTGGGAGGTCAGCTCCGCTGAGGAGAACCTGGTCCCCATTTTGAGAAATGACTGAGTGCTTGCTTGCTTAGAGCTTTTTGCTTCCCCACTTAAGATATTGGTGGTGTGACTGATTCTTACTGGCAGGGCAAACTTCTGAGATACAACATGAAATGAGTGCTGACAACATTTCTAGTTTGGTATCTTGCTTATTTCAAGAGCCATAGTTTGCAAACTCTACTGTTGGAGGCTACTTTTCCATATTAATACTATTTTTCTAATTAAGAATAGGGGACTGGCCAGCCTGCTTTTTCCTTTTCTGCTGATGTTTCTCTCACTGCGTCAGCAGCCACTCAGCCCAGATGTTTTCATCTAAAAGTTCTCTGGGTTTTCAGCGAACTGAGCCAGGCTGCAGATCAGGTCATGTGCGAGTGGGCAGGTCTGCCCTCACTCCCTGCTGAATTTAACATCTTCTATCAGTAGATGTTAAAGAACACATCTGATAAAACAGATACCGTGTCAACACCAAATAAGCTTTTTTTTTAATCCCTACCCAAGGATATGTTTGTTGATTCTAGAGAGGGAGGGAAACATTGGTCAGTTGCCTCCCGTATGCACCTTGACTGGGGATAAAATCCGCCACCTCCCCGTGTACCCAAGATGCTCCAACCCGCTGAGCCTCCCAGCCAGGGCTAAATAAGCATTCTGATAATGAATTAGAGCATCAGTTTGTACTGAACCATGAAAAACTTTGACCGCAGCTGGGACATGTCCCTTTTTGTCATGCAGCCTGGTCCACTTACTGACCTGACCCCCACTTCCCACAGCCACTGTACTGTCCAGCATCCTGTTGGGGAGGCAGAAGAGACTGCCTTGGAGTGTTTTTGTCTAACAATTTACAGAGTGTTTTATGCAGTATGGCCCAGCCGTCATTCTGTGGCAGAAGAGAGGATCTTCTCTTTCAGTCACACAGGGCACAGGCACCAACAGGACTGCTGCCATCTAGAGAGAATGGCCCGAAACCTTGGGTTCTGTCCCAGGGCCAGAGCCCAGGCTGCCTAACACTGTGCTGCGCTCTGTCAGTGTCTTGAGTGATGCTGAGTTATGTACCATGCTGTCTCTGATGTGAGAATGGGTCACTTTTCTCATGTAGCAAGTATTCAGTTTATAATTATTTAATTGTATAATAAGCACATTCAGAATGGTTTTCTGAAAGATTACCAAGGAAAATAGATGTACAAAATGGCCCCAAGTGAGTTAGTCAAACCTTTATAAAAAATATTTTCGTACTTGTATGCTGCCATAAAGGTATTTCTTACACCTTAAATCTTCTATCATCTTGGTTTTGTAAGCACACCAAGGAAGCTTGACCGAAGTACTTGCTTTGTACTATTGAAATTGGCACTTTAGCTAAATGTGAAGGATGTTATTTTAACAAATAACTGACTCTAATAAAGTATTTTATTATATTAAATAAATGCCTGAGACTTCGCTGTTTTCTTGAGATGGTTCCATTTGTCAGAAGGATCTCAGACCTGTTCTTTAAGTAGTTCTGGCAGCCACGCAGACCCGGGACGGGAATCCCCACAGGAAAAGAGGACAAGGCTAGTCAGACAAGCTGCTCACCTAGGCTGACAGACGTGGCTCACTGATCTTTCAGTTAAGACTCAAGTAACTGAAGTGGTTTTTCATGTTCCTATTTACCGTGAGTTCATGGTTTTCTGGAGAAAACACATAAACCCAGTCACATATTCCTGAAAATTTCTATGTAGAACAGTCCACGCCCCAAACCTCAACTGAGTCCTACTCAAATCTGAAAAGGTTCACCTCTGTTACAAGGCCTGTGCTGACATCGGGAGAGTATGAAGTGAGGTCAGAGGATTGGCCAACAGCAAGAGAACAAAATGGTGAAATGTGAAGCAGCAGAGTGAAGCCACCTGAACCTGGACTGATAAGGGAATATTCTGGCTCTTCAGTGCCAGCCCCTGACCAGCCCACACCCTCACCCACCAAGTGGGCTCCCACGGGCAGGAAGGGCCGTTCCAGAGAATGACACAGCCTCTTCTGGCTGCTGCTGAGGTCAGAGAGACCTACTGCTTGCATTTAATTCAGATTGCTCGTAACAAATTTTTTGCTTTGTGCTAAAGAGAGACACAGTAGGAGGAGACCTACAGATTAAGACTCATATAATCTACCGATCTTAATTTATGGGATGGAATTGACATTTATGAAACAACAGGAAATGAGAAGTTTACTGAACAGTGGATGACATTGGGGTATTACTGCTAATGTTTCTAGAATAATGATGAAACTATGGCCTTTAGGTTCTTATCTCTTAGAGACATATGCTACAATGTTGTGGGTGCAAGCTGTCTGGAGGACCCTCAAAATAACAGATATGGGGAAGGAGTGGGAGGCAGAGGAGGAAAGATGGGCTCTGGCGTGAGACATGCTGATGTTCAATGGTAGGCATGTAAAGAGTTTATCTTACTCTATCTTTTTAATATTTTCCATTTAAAAAATGTTACATTAAATATAGTGAAGCTTGAATGAGCCACAAAAACTTGAAAAAAGAGCTGAGTTGCCCTGGCTGGGGAGCTCAGTTGGAGCGTCCTCCTGACACCTAAAGGCTGCAGGTTTGACCACTGGTTGGGGCGCATACAGGAGGCAACCATTCTTTCTTTCTCTCCCCGACCCCCTTCTAAAAATCAATAAACATATCCTTAGGTGAGAATTTAAAAAAACTGTGCTGCTTTCCGTCATATATGGGAGCTCCTGGATTTCCCCCCACAGTGCATTTATGACGTTAGGTTTCCCAAGCTGATCTGCCAATATCACTTTCGCAGCAGCAAATATCTGACAGAAGAGTTCAGGTAAAAATGTATAAAAGCTGAAGTGTCAAACTGCCATAAGCTGAAGTTTAAAGCTGAAGACACATCACAGCTGAAAAGATTTAAATCAAAGTGACCATGGGATTTGACTTACAAAAGTTCTATTTACACGTCTGTTCGGTAAAGCAAGGTACACCCATTTCAAAACATCCATATTTGAATGCAGAGCTGAGTACCACTCCACAAGAGGTTTTTAAGAGAACTTCGGTTTAATAAACAAACCTAAATGGGGAAAACTTAAGTTTGCACTTGACATGGTATTTAAACAAAACCAAAGGGCTAAAACTCAATATTTAGACAAAGAACACAGTCCACTACTCACTAGGCAAAGAAAATGGTCCACGGCAGATGGCACACAGAATTCCTATATAAAACAAATGTCACAAATATTTTCCTTTTAGGAAACAAAACAATGGGTCGACATGTCATTTACAAATACATAATATAAAAACGCACAGCCCCCTTGAACAAAAATCCATCAAACATTTTTTATGTGACTTCCCCCTTCCCCACCCCCTTACTAAAATAGGCCATTCCGGTGAATTACTAGCATTGCCTTTTTGTCTTTCAAAAATTAGAAGAGCAGCGGGCACGTGTCCTGCGCAGAGCGTTAGAGAAGTGTCTTATAAAAGGGGCCGGAGTTGGCCAAAAACATTTGGACAAGTGTGTCTCAAAAAAGTGTGTCCAGGTTTTACTTTTGTTTTTCACTCTTAAGAGACCACACCTTGTGCCCAGTCTGTGGAGTGACTGCTCGCCTCCGGTCACCCTCAATATGAGGGGCACGCAGAGCCTCTTTCCTTGGACACCCTTTCCCTTCTGTCTGAACCAGAGAACACTACGTGGGCGCAGGCGCTGCCCCGGGCCCTTCCACACCAAGGGTACCGCTGGGAGGCCGGTGGTCCTCCTGGCCAGCATGAAGTAAGGCATTTCCCCTCTCTCCGAGTCCCTGTTCACTTTCTCAGAAGCAGCTTGGCAAAGTCAGCATTGGACATCTTGGGAGCTTCAGCAGCTGCTGAGGTGGTGACCGCTGGCTTCGGGGCAGGGCCGTTCTCGGCCTGGGCCACTGCGGTGCTCGGGCGTTGCAGGGCACGAGGCAGCAGAGAGAGCTGGGTCCGTCCCTTCCCCCGCCTGGAAGAGCAGACACTGAATGCACCCTTTCCACACAACAATTCATGACCCTGCTCTATTTGTGAAAATAAGCCAGTAAAGTCTTAAAACACTCGAAGTTCAAAGGTGAAAAATAAGACTACAAAGATAAGACAAAGCCTGCTTCCTTGATTGATTAGTAGGTAAAATCCAAATTAACTACTTTGGCCTTCTTCCCAATTTTGGCAAAGGCCAAATCTCTGCAATGTAGTCACCTATGGGTAGATGAAAAAGGCTGTAACCTTTCACCAAATCACCTGGAAATTTTGCTGTGTCACCCCTATCAGGTAAAAAAAATAGCTTCTATATGATGACCGCCAGAGCCATAGATTACCCTGGCAAACGTGGTTGTCAGGCCTTGTTTAAACATACGGAGTCATCTGGCAAGGAGGACTTTAAAACAATCAGAGAGGAACATGACCTTATATGAATCACAAGTGTGAACTGGCAAACACCAAAACAGGTCCCACTCTGGGCTTGCTCTCTGCGCGGACATGCTCTGGACAGCATCTCTGGTGACTACAGTGGACAGCATGCCCTGGCTTTCTGTCCCAACACACCGCACCGACAGGAAAGCAGCTCATCGCGGTGCTGGCCAGGACAAAGCCTGCACTGGCCAGCTGCAAACACTTACGCTCCATATATCTGCCGCGGCACTATGGGGCCACTTGGTCCTTTCCTTGCTTCTGGTTTCTCTGGAACTTTCCTCTGAGGGGGGTTGCTAATGGCCACTTTGATGACATTCTCTTTGATAGTCATGCCATCCATCTTCATGACAGCCTGCGATGCCTGGGATTCATTTTCATACTCCACGTAGGCCAGGCCCTAGGAACGAGGCCAGAGCCAGGTCAGGTGCTACAGAGCCAGGACACGACTTCCTCCCTCAGGCTGCAGGGCCAGGGCAGGGCAGGCACCTCAGCAACAGGTGACCTTCCCCACTACCGCCATCCTTTGTCTACAGGTTTCTTTCCCCGCCCTACTCTCCCTCCACATTTCTGTAACCGCCTGTAACTTCAGTGACCTTTGTAAGTTCAGTACCTCCTGTGCTTGCTCCAGCAAAAAGAGGAAGACGCACAGACCAGTATAAATCCAGCGATCGGCTGAGGTGGCCTGGACCCTGGGAGCAGCCCCAGTGTGGCCGAACACCTGTGCCTTCGCCACCCCTTCAGTTCATACCCTTTAACTCTTAATCAACCTGGATAAAGGGAGCGGGGGAAGAAAGGCAACCCAAACTCATGCTTAAACAACGCTAAGTGGGGTGCAAAGAGGGTTTCACCGGAGACTGAGAAGGGCTAAAGGACTGCATAATAGGGAGTCCAGTGGAGGGACCGAAGAGAACAGCCGGAGACCTAGTGAAACACAGGCGTCTGGGCAGGAAGGAGGAGACGCAGAGGACAGCCACTCACCCCAAGGCCCCAGTGTGGGCTCTGCACTGTGCTACCCTACTAATTCGGGGGAGGGCTTTTCTTTCTTTAATGCCTTATTTTTTTAATCCAATTAGCTACAGATTACTCTGACTCCAAATGGAAGTAAGCCTACTGTACCTATCCTTCTGTTAATTTATCATTTGTTTCTTAGCAAAGTAGGAATCTACTCTAGAACCACATAATCTGTGATTAGAAACAGGAACAGGCTCACCCAAGCCTCAGAAGGCTAAGCGCTTTCCATCCCCTCATACACCGACCTTCGGTTTGCCGGCCCGGTTGGTGACCAGCCTGATGTCCTTCACGGTGCCGTGAGCCTTACAGATCTCTTCCAGTTCCTCTTTAGTGCAGGAGAAGGGCAGGCCCGAGATAAACAGCTTGTGCTTCTCCAGGGCAGTGCTGTACCTGAACACCTGTGGCAGAAGGGAGGGGAAACCCGATGGCGGGAAGCCCAACCCAGCACAGTGGCCTCATCTCCCAGTCCACGTCCCCGCCAGGTGCACCAGAGCCGACTCTGGGCGCTAGGAATTGCTAACTGGGTCACCCTGGACATGTCACTTAACCTCTCAAGCCTCCACTTCCTCTCCTGCCAAATAGCAAGAATGAAAGTAGCTATTCTCAGAGTTTGGGTGAGGATGCCATGAAGTAATGTAATACTTAAACAGATAGTACAATCCCTTGTCATTCCTAAGCACTCAGTGGACAGTCACCATTATTACAATTCCTCATTTTATGATCATTTACCAGCTCATGCCAGCTCAAAGTGACCAAGCCGTGAGTCAGACCTCAAGTAACCAGCTCAGAACAGACCCATTAACATGAAAGTTTAGTCCTTAACAGAGTATAGGTATTCCATGTGTACTTTAAACATTACTTCCTTCACGAAAAGAAGTGTTCAGTCTTTATAACAGCCCTTTGTGAAAGGCACTGTTTTTCCACAAGCATACCTTAAAATCAGGATTTTTGCTCTTATCCACACACGGGGAAACAAACATTGGCCTGCCGTCTACATTCTTCCGGTCCAACTGCAGAGCCTGCAGGGCCGATTTCTCCTCTTTAAACTCCACATAGCAGTAGCCTCGGAAGTCGCCCCGGTTGCTGAAGATGGGCCGGATCTCAGCCACTTCCCCACAGGCCTCAAAGAGCGGCCGGAGCTTCACGTCCGGCTCTTCCATGCTGTAGGGCAGGTTGCTGACAAAGACGGTGATGCTGTCCTTGCTGCTGTCGTGGGGCACCTTGGGCACATCCCTTTTTAGGGCGGCTGCCCTCTCCTTCTGCTTTGAAGGGGGGGCAACATCAACAGGTGCGCTTTTCCCAAAGAGTCCTGTCTCCGCTTCCAAGTCTTGTGCTTCTCCAGCTGGAGGAACGCTGTTCTCAACCCTTCTGCGTTTAGAAGGCTGCTCTACAGGGTGTCAGGGGAAAAGGAACGACGATTACTTATTTCCTCTCTACCCCGAGCTCGTCCACATACACGCTCTCCCCACTACAAACAGCTGGTCTGCAACAGCTGCACATGATCAACAATGACTCCTCTCCCACATCTGCACACACAATACCTTCCAGGCCTTCCTTGGCTCCCCAGCTTGTTCCACCACTTTCTGGACCCTGATTACATTTGAATGCGTGGGCTAAATCCAGGAGAGGTGTTAAGTCCTCACTGTCTACTCTCAATCGTATAAAAGGTCAGGGAGTCCAAAAATTCAGCCAGCAAATTCCAAGGCCCTTCTCCTAAAAAAGCCCAGGTCACCAAGGGCGGGATGGGGACCTGCATTTACGTGCTTCACATGCGGGCCACACCTGGGAAAGCTCTATTAAGGGTCCATCATTCCTAGAAACTTCCACTATTGTCTCCTGTCCTCCAGAATTGAACATTCTACTCCAACCCATTCTCCTCACTACCTCCAGGGGGAGTACTGAAACCCACCTGGGGTTGGCCCCCACTTCCAGACCCTTCCATCAATTTCCTACCACTTCGGATGGAGTCTAATCACAGCATGCCGCATTCAAGAGCATCCCTGGGTGGGGCTCGGCTGGTTGGAGCATTGTCCCATAAACCAAAAGGTCGCAGGTTTAATTCCCAGTCAAGGAACATATCTGGGTTGCAGATTGTCCCCAGTCAGGGTGCATGCAAGAGGCAACCAGGCAATGTTTCTCTCGCACATTAATATTTCTCTCCGTCTCTTCCCCGCTCTCTAAAGTCAAAAAGCATGTCCTCCAGTGAGGATTTAAAAAAAACCCCCACGAGCCTGTGTGTGTGGCGCCCAGCCAGCTGGCCTGCCTGCTGCTCCAGCCTCACCAACCCCGCCCCTGGCCCCCGCCTGCACTGTGGCCTAAGCCCCGATACCGCTGCCACAGGAAATGCCAGGCTGTGTTGTACCTCGTGCCTCGCTGACACCAGCCCTGTGTCTGGCTCCCCGTCTCCTTCACTGGACAGCCCCTCGGTCCTCCCCCAGGTGCCAAGGTGCACACATCGCTTCCCCGTGACCTCTATCTTGCAGGGAGCTGGCCCACTGGCTCCCTTTGGCTTCCACCATAACTCACACCTATACCTCCCACCGTCCCGATTATGCGCCACTGCAGTCCCGGCACATCTGCCTTACCCCGCTAACCCAGGAGCTCTGAGGGGCCGTGAGCTAACGGCTGTTTGTAAAGGCCCCAAAAAGGTGTGCAAGAAAGGCAACCAAACGCAGTCGCCATCACTACTTCCTTCTGGCTGACAACTGTATACTAGTAAAATGTACAGAGTTCTTTAATGTCAGCAGACAATTCTTTACCTTGACTGACTTTGCTGAAATAAATCTGACCCACGCCTGCCCATTCCTGAAGCTGCAAGACTGGAAAAGTCTACCAAGCTTCGACTTGGAAAATTCTACCAAGTCAAAACCATAGGTGGGGCAACAAGGCAAGTGTCGGTGCAGGGTGGGGCTGGGTGGTGTCAGGGGACACAGATCCTGAGTGGGTTGAAGGGATGCCCACGCACGGGGCACAGAGAGGAGCGTGGGGTACGGGAGCCCAAGCAGGGGGAGGAGGGCACCACACAGGAGGGCAGTGGAGGCCAGAGCAGCGCAGGGAGGGAGTGGAGTCCGGGCCTCTGTGCAGGGCAGTACCTGGCACAGGGCAGAGTCCAATAGGGACAGGAAGGCTGATGCTCTCAAAGGGTCCAAGAACAGTTCTTTGTACTTTTTTTTGCTTGTCTGTTTTTTGCAACTTCTCTGGAAGGCCGCAATGCTCCAAAATAAAATTTCTGAAAATCTTTACCTTCTTCATCATCGCCCCACTCTTTCTCGTCATCCTCATCTGCTTTGCGCTTGTCTGCACCTCTGGTCTTTTTCTTCTTTTTCAGCGCTTTCTTCTCGGCCCGGGCCCTCTTCCGGTGTTCAGCCTGTTCTTCTTCTTGCTGGGCGAGAGCGGCTTCCTTCTCTGCAGCCTGGAAAACGGGGCATATGCTGCATCACTGGACACAGCAATGACCTGAACTCTACTGACTTGTGATGAGAAGAGATGAAAGAGGACAGGGAGGGGAAACTCATTACCCACGTGACAGGAAGAGACCAGAGAAAGCCAGGCGGAAATGCTCGCGACCTCCCCGGCCAGGGCCCCTCAGGCTCCTCGGGCCCTGCCCTGCCTCTCAGATCTCCAGTGTGTCTCACAATAACCCCGGTAATTACTCACCAAGAGAAAGAAAATAACCTATGAAACCAGGGCCCCAATTAATTTGGGGGTGTTCATATTCCAATCACTAGGCTAAGTGAGGCTCCTCTTTATTATTTTTTTCATCTATTCCAGTAAAACTTTAGGGCCAAAATTCCCCTATGACATAAAAAAGTATTCACTGTTGAGGCTAAAGTTTTAAGCCATTATAAAAAAGAATACAAGACTAGTTTAAATACCGGTTCAAATATTTCATAATACTCTAAGTAAAGGACACACTTTAGAAAGACCTCATGGTTTTGACAAAAAATGTTCATCCCAAACACAGTCAAAATAGCTGTTAGAAGCTCCCAAGACTTCAATCAACAGCATCATTACCTTCATTCTCTGCTCGTTAACACGAGCTAACCGAGTTTCGGTTTTCTGAACGGCTATATCCCAATCTTCTAAAGTACCTTGATAGGAAGAGAAGCAAACTTTCACTGCTTGGGTTTTTGAAGGATGATAATAATACGGTTTTCTTAATTTCCCCACATTCCAGAAGACATCTCTCCTATCAGACAATAAGAACTGGAGAGGGTAGCTCCCCATTTTAAGTCGATTTCATTATGTAGTCCTTCCAGGTGTATTTAAAATGTCCCTTCTCTTTTAGAAAAGAGACTTACCAACCAGAATATGATCTATTATGGGAGCTCCCTGGCAAAGATTATGAAAACATTCCAATGCAAAAGGTGTAAGACATTTATATCAGGTTAGCCAAAAAGTCCATTTAGTTTTTTCCGTCAAATAAAAAACATATTTTCATTTTTACCAATAATTTTACTGATTTAGGTGTTTTGAATATGTCATATAGCACATGGTATAACACTGACTGTTCTCAATTAATATCTCAATTTGACTGCTATCAACTTCAACTGGTCTACCTGACTGGAAGCATCGTCCAGAAAGAAATCTCCAGTACGAAACTTCACAAACCACTTCTGACATGTTTGATCAGTCACAGCAACTTCTCCATATACTGCACAAATCCTTTTTGGTGTTTCAATTGCATTTTCACCTTTCTTGAAATAATAAAGCATAATATGCCAAAAATGTTGCCTATTTTCTTCCATCTTCAATATTAAAATGGCTACACAAAAATTCACCAATTTTGGTAAGTTTTTTTTTTTAAGAGTTTATTTATTTTTAGAGAGCGGGGAAGGGAGAGAGGGAGGGGGAGAGAAACATTGATGTGCAAGAGCAACATCAGCTGGCTGCCTCTCACAGGGCCCCAGCCAGGGTCCTGGCCCACAACCCAGGCCTGTGCCCTCCCTGGGAACCACACCGGAGACCTTTCGGTTCACACGCTTCCAATCTACTGAGCCACACCAGCCACGGTAGTTTTTTGTTTTTGTTTTTTTTCAATGCATGCTGATATGATATAACACAATCTAACAAAATTGTTTTGAAAGAAGTCAAAGGCACCTAAGCGCTACTAGAGCCATCTTACGGGAGGAAAAAAAATGAACTTTTTGGTCTACCCAATATTAAGACTAAAAAATCTGAACAGCGTCTCAAATGATAAATGTGGGGTATTTTGCGATTTGTTGTTTGGGTGTTTTATTTCAAGTTCTGAGGGGTTTCCACCCAAAATCCATACCAATGCCCATGGATAAATCCACTATTTTCCCACTGGAAACATAACACTGAGGCTCTAAAATTCGGCAGGTGAGCACACAAGTGGTCGTCTGCCTCTGTGCTCCTGTGGCGCATGTCAAGTGCTCAAGCAGAGGTCCTCAACTGGAGCGATCCTGACCCCCAGGGCACAGTCAGCAACACCTGGAGTCATTTTTGGTTGTCATAACTGGGGGCAGAGAGCAGTGCTACTGGCATCTAGTGGGTAGAGAGGGGCCAGGGATGCTGCTAAAGACGCTATGATGCACAGGATGGCCCTCCTCAAAGAATTCTGAGAACCATGCCAGAACTACACAACAGAGTCTCCCTTGGCTCTAGGGAACCCGAGAGGAACCACTCCCATGTGAGCGCCACCTGAGGGGCTGCAGCTGTAAACCAGCCTGTCCTTACAGACTCTGAACCGGAAGCAGAGAGCCGAGTGTCCCCACCTTCTGTCCTCTCCATGGTGAGCAGCACCTCACAGACGTGCTCCGGGTAGTCACTGGTGCACTGGACGGCCCGGTGCAGCGCTTTCCTGCAGTGCTGGGTGTCGCCATGCGCCCTAGGGCAGAAAGCCAACAGGTGCTGCCACCAAGACACAGAGCAGAAGGCACACCAAGGGAGGGGCGGTCTTCTCACAGGTTAGTGCCACGGGATCGGAGGCTCTGCCACAAGGAGCCACTAACTTCCTGCACTATCCCATGAAGCACTTCTTCCCCATGCCAAGTACAATGGTTGTCGCAAAGAAAATACTGTCATTGTCTGGGGTGCAATCTAAACTAGTTTTTTCATGGAACACCATTTTTGTTTTCTAACATGGTTAGGTATTTAGAGTCCTAAAGAATTTACATAAATAAAAGCTTGTGGCGGGGCCTCAAATTTTAGGAGTGCCAAGGAGTTCTGACACCAAAAAGTTTGAAAACCACTCGCCAAGGGGAATACTCAACAAGCTTGAACAGTGTCACCTCTGGGGGATGGGGTTATAGGGAACTTTCACTTTCTCTGTTCAAGACATACTGGATAAAAACGGTCACATTCTTTATGTCGTCCCTGATATCAGTATTACTGCACATAGCTTATTTATTTAAAGTAATTTTAGAGGTTTATTACAGGTGCACTGTAACTGCATTTTAATTTTCTAAACACCTAAGTATAAAAAAGTTTTGAAAAATATATCCAAACAATTAACTAATATGGTGGTTACATCCGGGCCCATGACTGTATATAATTTGGGGGTTTTTCCTGTGCTTTTTAGTACTTTTTACTTTTATAAACAAATATAAAAAACAATAAATAGCTCCCCAAAAAGTCAAATGAAACATTCATGTCCCAAAAAATCAAAACAAAAACAAAAAATCTTAAACACATAGCTGTAACAGCCCAGGCACAAAATACTACTTTTGGTTCTCTAGCCCCACCCACTAATGAAAGAGACGGACTAGAAGAAGCCGGGGCTGATGGTAAAGATGCAAGCCCAGGCCAGGAGAATGCAGCCGGGACTGAAGGCGGTGACTCCGGACACAGCACTGTCCCCGACCCCAGGTAGTTACCTTTCCAGGTTGTAATACTCCAGCCACATGTTGGCATACTTGGCGTTTCCTTTGGTCATGATGCTATCCCAGAGCTCCCGAGCTTTCTGCATATTATTACACAGTCGAGCCTGAGATACATTTACAAGGTTCAGTTAGGAAAGCACCTGACCCTTATGATACCAACACCCACTAAAAAACATACTTCAAACAGACCTGCCCACAGAGCCACCACAGCTACCAGTTCTCCACAAACCCCTGGGCACTGCCGAGGCCGCCCTCCACGGTCCCAGGCCGGCCCAGCCACACCAGCCTTGCTGCGGCCACGCGCCTCAGGGTGCCTCTTAGCTGAGAGCAAACAGGGGGAGCCTGTGCGCACTAACAGTACTGGCCAGTCGCCCAGTATTTTTTGTTCCGTTTTGTTTTTTATGAAACTTAACTACAAGTCTTCAATTTGAGAGGCAGCATAGAGAAAGTAAGTCTGATCTAGAAAGAGGTGCCAGTTCCCCATTTCCTAAGCGACTTGGGCAAGTTGCTTAACCTCCCTGAGCCTCAGTTGCCTCATCTTTCAAATGATTACCACACAAACATCTCATCCAGGAACAACCAGCTAAATGTTTCTTCGACTTTTCCCTCAGAGAATAAAACATCAGAATTTTACAATTTTATGAGCTGATCAAGGGCAGGCTCCAGGTCCTACTCCCCGTGGGGTCCTTGGTCCAGTAGCTCAGCTCACTGCGCCCTGTAACTCTCCGTCCAGCCGTCTGCTGTCCACACTAGACTAAAGCCTCACTAGTGCAGGGGCCGCGCGCACCTTATTACTCTGGCACCTGGTCAGGCGCCCGGCACACAGCACAAACCTGACACGCCCCGAGCAAGGGAGAGAAGGGGCGCGTGAGTGCACACCTGGCATTGAGCCGTTTACAGCACACCTGCTACCTGGGATCTACTGTTTGCCCTACGACATAAACAAATGTGCACACGACTACGTAAATAACATGGGTCCCTACAGAGCCTAGGCCATCAGCTGGGATTCTGACTCAACTTCGCCACACTACCAAAGGTCCTTCAAAGGTGGATGAAACCAATGAATTTGCCAAAAAACATTTACCTCAATCCTGGCCCAGTTCTGCATGATCATGCAGCTTGGATCCCCACTCTCATTGAAACCTTTAAAAATAGAATTAGTCAAAATCAGAAAGGACTTAAGAGACAAATGGCCTTTGCCTGAAAAGAAACCAAGAATGGGAAGTACAGCTGGAAAGCAGCAGGTGGGAGCAACACTTACGTTCTTCCACCTCCTGTTTCAGATACTCCAAAGCACGAGCGAATGCGGACCTCAACTCTTCCAGCTCTTTACTGGAGTCTGGGAGAAATTGCAGAAGAATTTTGACTCTATGAAACCACATAATGCGTTGTTTTTGGGTTTTTTTAATCCTACATTGAAAGTCACAGGGGCCTCTTAGGCACCTGGCGTCATGCTGACAACACAGAAATAAAACCGCCAGCCCCCGGTCTCGTCACAGAGCAGGGAGAGAGAGACACTGGCAGAGCACAGCACGGCAAGCGCACGGTGCCGTGTGCAGGCCTCCCCCAGCCAGCGGCACGGCTGGAGGCCACGTGTGTGAGTGCACGTGAGTGCACACGGACAAGTTAGACCAGGTTCCTTTCGGTTGCTATTCTTTTTGAGGAGTGAAAGGAGAAAGGAAGGGGAATCCTGCAAAGGCTCCAAGATTTAATAAAAACACAGCAGTCTTATTTAGAGAAATATTTTGGGTATACAGAAGGGGGAAAACAGAAAAATACAAAATAAGACCGAAGAAGGTGGCAAGAGCCAGCACAATACACAAGGACCATTACTTCCTTCCTTTAAAATCCACAGCATGACTTGATAAAGAATTAATAGCTAAAAGTTGGAGGGCGAGGTGCAGGTGGGGAGGGGCGGTGCTACCAATGGCTGGTCTACAACACTTGCCAATCACAATGTATTTGGAAACTACGACATCTCACCAAAAGATGTGCTAAGAAAAAGTACAATTCGGACATAAAGCACATGAACTTAAATACCTTGTTTGAAATCAACCCTTCTCCTCAGGTAATCAAGGTATGCTTGCCAAATCTCCACATAATCAGTGGCCTGGATGAAGCCAGCACTCAAAGCTTTTTCGAAGGTTGCTGGAGATGAAGAAAAAGACAGGGTTTGTGGCCAATTCAAAAAGCAACTAATATAAAGTTATCGAGATTATTTTAAAAACCTCTACTGACTATAAAATACTATACGATTTAACATAATAATAAGATGCAGCCAAGTGAAATGAGCTAGAAGAAATGTTCAAAAGAAAAGCCACTGCAGCAATGCACAAACTGTTCTAGAAAAGGCAAGAAGAGTTCCAGGCCAAGGAAGTTTGGTGAAAGGCTCCTGGAAGATCACAATAAATATGAGCATTTTGTTAAAAAGCTCTACGAAGGCAAAACCACACTCAGTGGGTCTCCCACTTAGAGCCCTCCTGTCACTCTCACCCAGCACCCCGAGCAGCGCCCTGGGGAATGCTGACTTAATGACCGCCAGACCTCTAGCTTCGGACTTGGGACAAAAAGCTGTGAAGTCTTCCCACAGAAACATTCGCACCGGAAATCACTTGATGATCGACTCCATGTCTTTCCATGGCCAAGAGGTACCGACTCCACAGGGCAACTGTCCAGGGGCAGTTTCTCACAGCACGATTATGTACAGATAAAACCAAATCCTTTACTTTTAGCTGCCGATCCTACGATAAAGAATGTCAGGGTTAGGAGATAAAATGGCTATCACTACCGCTTCACCATCCACGAGACATTTCCAGCACAACCAACTGACAAAAAAAATTTCCTTAGAAATTTCTACTGTGACTGGGTTCTTCGACAAAGAAATCACAAGGGGGAGTGAGGGAGAAGAGAGGTGGAAATAGGAACCTATAGATTAAAGTAGCCTGAAGAGCATCAGCCAATACTAACGTATGAATCATGTTTGGATCCTGATCCAAATCTTTTATACATGCATACTGAAATATTTAGCAAGGAAATGTGATTTCTGGGTTTAATTTAAAATAACATGGAATGGGGAAAGTAGGTGAGGATGTGGATGAAACTACATTAGTGTCATTAGGTAACTGCTGAAGTTGGGTGATGGGTGTGTGAGGTTTCATTTTCCTAATCTGTCTACACTTATAAGATTACATTTCTCCATAGTAAAAGAAAAAAAATCAATCTGTTATAAAGTCCTCAATAGTAAGGCTATGTAATGTTTTTAGTTACTGATCAGTTTAAAGCAACTTAAAACGGTGGGAGGGCTTCCTCAGTGAGCTGACAGAAGCCCAGGAGGATGAAGGACCCGCGAGCAGGCAAGACGAGCAGCATGCAGCAAACCCCGAGCACCCGTGCCGATTTCCTCCAGGTAGGCCCCAAAGAGGTAAAAGGTAAAATGAAATCAGAATAGTTATCTTACTAGGTACTGACTGTAACGGATCCATAAGTCTGGGACAAGGCAGTTCTCAACCAGGGCACGCTCAAAGATCAACTGAATGCGAGCAGGATCGCCAATTTTCATCTCAAAATCGATGTATGCTTGATATTCGGCCAGCCTGGGTGCCTCTGCTTCCAACTGGGATGAAAGAGAACAGCAATGAGCTCCCGGGCACTGTCAGGAAGCACAACACATCTTCCCAGTCAACTCTGGTGCAACTGACTACACCAGGGTCAGAATTACCAGTCCCCACTCTCAGAACCTCTGCACATCCAGGTCTACAATTTGATGGACAGAGAGAGTCCAAAGTGCCTCTCGTGGCAATGGCTACAAAGGCTCCTTAAACCCTTTTCTAAATCCATCCCTAAGCTACTGGAAATTTAAATCTCCCACCATTCAGGAACTGAACGAAAGAGAAACACCAATCACCAATGCGGCCGTCCTTCCCCAAAAGAAGTTCTTTTCATGGCCTAGTGAGTGGAGAGAATGCAACCACACTGGAGCAATCCAGTGCCTCGTGCTAGTTCGGGCTTCTCATTCCCAGTATCAGCACCTGCCAGAGCACAGGTACACGCAGGAGATGGCAGAATGTTGAATGCTATGCTGAATGCTGACTGATCCAAAGTACAATCAAAAGTCTTTTTAGACAAAATCCTCTTATTCAACTTGTTTTCTTTTCAGCCACACTGCTGATAGTCAAAACAAAATTGAACCTGCTGAGGATGTCACTGATGAGGCTTTGTGAAATACAATTACATACAAATCATTCACATGTGAAAAAGGAAGGGAGCACATGTAGGACAGCGAGGGCATGTGTGCTGTGAACATAGAAAGATGATGCCTCAGAGCCTCAGTTCCCAGTGATAGTGACCAATCAGTTACCCAGACACACTGTGCTACTGAAAACAACTAACACTGCTGGATTAAATATACAAAACATCATCTTGAAACTCATCAACTAACTAGTAAGTAAACAGAAAATACTAAGGTCAAAAACTAAAAGAAGGTGGTTAACTTAGGTGAAGGTTATGCTTCTCCTGGCTTAAGTCTTAATATAAAGACTTTGATCTTCACAACAATCCTATGAAGCAATAACATAACTATCTCCATCTTACATTCAAGGCAAATGAAACACAAGGAGGCTAAGTACTAGCCCCAAATCAGAGCCACTAAGTGGCAGAGCTAAAATTCAAACTGGAGGCAGCCTGGCTCTCAACACCTGTGTTCTCACTCACTATGCATGAGAGACCAAAAGCAAAGCCAAGAAACCTGACAAAACACAAGCAGGATAAATACAAAGACATCCACACCTGGACACACTGTAAGGAACTTGTAAGACATCAAACCAAACCAATGAGATTAAAATCAGCCAGAGAAATAATCAGGATTACCTTCAAAGAAACAAGAGTTAGCTGACTTCTCAACAGCAACAGAAGCCAGAAAGATACACTTAACTGCTGAGAGAACACAGATGTCAGTCTAGAACTCTGTACGCTGAGAAATTAACTTTCATGGAAGAGCAACAAAGGAAAACCTTTTCAACAAACAAAAAGTGAAAAAATCTGTTACTAGCAAATGCCCAGTAAAGGAAGACTCTACAGGGTAGACTCCAAGCAAAAGAAAAGTGATTCCAGATGAAAGCCCTAAGACACAGGCAGGAAAGAGGAAAGAAGGCAGGACAGGTGTGCAGTGAATGTGAACCAGCCAAACTGTATGACACAACATTAACAATAATGCCTGTGGATCAAACAAAAAGGTAAGAAATACGAGGTAACAAGAGACTAAGTCTGAGGCATGGTAAATGAAGTTAAAAGTATTCTAAGACCAAAAAAGAAAAAAGAACACCACTTACAAATAATATTATTGTTAAAAGAAAATGTACAACACAGAATATCCAAAAGAATCCATAAATTATTAATATTAGTAAGAATCTAGCCAGACTAAAAAAATAAAAAACACATTTTATACACCAAGGATAACTAGAAAATCTTTAAAAAGATACTTTTTTCAATAGCATCAAATATCACGTAGAAATATATCTAAAAATGTGCTCAAGACACTAGGTGAACTTATAAATTTACAAAACTTTACAGAGTTTTTTAATTTCATTTTTAATATAGGTTTTATTTATTGATTTTTAGAGAGAGAGGGAGAGGTGGTGGAGGGGAAAAGGGAAAGAGAGAGAGAGAAAAAGACAGAAAAAAAGACAAGCAGAGACTGACATCGATTGGTCGCTCCCCCATTCATGCATTCAGTGGTTGATTCTTGCGTGCACCCTGATGGGGGATCGAACCCCAACCCCAGCACACAGAACAATGCTCCAACCAACTAAACTACCAGCCAAGGTTTATTTTAAATAGCACTGGCCTATACTATGTAATTCTCCTCCAAATTTATCTACAGGTTCCATGGGATTCCAATAAAAAATTCAAGTTTTTTTTAAAAAATAGAACTTGAAAAGCTGACCTGAAATTCAATGAAAGCATTAAGAGCTAAAGAACCAAAACCCTCTTGAAGAGGAACAAAAAGGGACTCCTGCTACCCTAAGATCAATACTGATTAAAATTATCATTACAATAGTGTAATATAAACCAGTGGCCACGGCACAGTAAGGTCAGAAATAGAGCCACACAGAAACAGACTGCTACCCTATGACAGATGTGGGGCTGCGCAAGAGTGAGGAGACGCAATTATCAGAATTGGCGCCAGGACAACGGGCTCTCCACGTGGGAAAATGAACTGGACCTACCTCCTACCATACACAAGATCAACTGCAAACAGGCATCTAACATCAAATACAAAAAATGTAAACTTTCAGAAGAAAATACAGCTAGGTATACTAATGACTGGAGTATGAAGAGATTTATTAAGCATAACAAAAGCACCAACCATAAGGAAAAGAATGATAAAATCCAATTAGATTAAAATTAAGACTGGTCATGAAAAGATGCCATTTTTAAAGGTAAGAAGACAAACCACTAACTTGGGGGAATGTTTTGCAGTACATACAATTGAAAGGAAGAAGTTCCAAGACCCCCACAAATCAATTAGAAAAAATAAAGAAAAATCAAAAGGAAAATATGTCAAAAATTTCAACAGGTACTTCACCAAAGAAAAACAATCCAAATGGCCAATATATGTGAGAAGATGCTCAACTTCATTACTGATCAGGGAAATGTAAATTAATACACCAGTTTCAGACTCAACAGATTGACTAAATTTAAGTACATCAATACACAAGGTTAGCGAAAGCAATGAGAAATCTCAGATACTGCTGGTAGGCGTATAAACTGAAAACCCGGAGAACAGTTCCGTTCCCAGGTGCATACTTAGAGAACCTCTCCTCCACGTGCACCCGCAGACTGGTGCAGCGATCAAGGCATCACTGCTACTTGCTGCTCCTAGCACAACCCTGAAAACAACCCAACTAAGACCATGGATGAATTATTTATATACAACTTTAGAGCAAAACGAATGGACTGTAACTATACTTATCAGTGAAACCCCAAAACATGTTGAAAGAAAAATATACAGCATGATTCCATTACATACAAGTTCAAAAACAAGCAAAATTAAACATATTAATTAAGGATAAGTTCATAGGTTGTAAAACTATAAAGAAAAGCACGGGAATGAGTATCACAAAAGTCAGGAAAGTGATTACCTCTCGGGAGAGGGAAGAGGAGGCAATCGGAGAGGGGCACATAGGAGACTTCTAAGGTACTGGCAATGCTCTATTTCTTAACCTGGGTGGTGGGTACATGGATGTTCACTTTATTATTAGTATGTCAACTGTAGTATACACTTATACACTCTATATATTTCACAATAAAACAAGTTTTAAAGATACTGTTTTAGTTGCAACTATCGATTAGGGAAAAGTTTATAGAGAAAAGTTTACTGTAAAAGCAGCCAACACTTACCAGCGCTTCTTCATAGGGTTTATATTTCTCCAGCTGCTGTAGGGCTTTGTTATAGCTCTGAATTACCGACTCTGGTATCGGGTCTTCCGACCATTCTTCATACTCTGCAAATGTCGCCTCCATATCTATTGAAAGATGGATTCAGCCCCGTGGGTCTTGCCATTGGGTTTTATCAATCCAAAACTAGACTAAACCACGAGACGGGGGTGCCACTCACCCCTCCCACACCTGTGGCCATAGTAGCTCTTACTGATCGAATCCTGAACCCTTCAACTGAGCTCAGACTTGGCCTGAGACTCGGTCTCAAAGTGCTGTCCCAGGCAGTCCTACCAACTAATTAACCCATCAGGTGATGAGCCCTGGCTGCTGTGTCTAAGGGGACTGGGCACTAGCCTTCAGATCGAAACGTTGCCTGGGTCGCAGGCCAGGTCCGCAGTTGGGGGAATAGCAGAGGCAACTGACTGAAGCTTGCCTCCCCCTCTTCCTTCCTCCCTTTCCCCTCTCTAAAAGCAAATAAATCTTTTTTAAAAAAATCAGTTAATGAAACTAATAGCAATGCTTCAACAGCACTTACCTGGCACTTCCTAGGTTCTAACCCATCACAGCCATTGGCTCATTTGATCCTCACAACTCTGTGAGGTAGGTTTTACTGGGGTTCTCCACTCTGCACTAAAGGTGCATCCACTGTCTACAGGAGACGGCAGGGCAAGGTGGTTTTGAGCCCAGGCGGTCTGGCTCAAGTTCATGCTCTACACAGCACATTATGCTGCCTCACACTGGTATGTGAGATGAAATCTACAAGCCAACTCCCCTTGAGCATTTTCTGCATGTCACCCAAGATTTGCCTGGAGGGACACTTTATAATTTGTTAAATCCAAATAAACTATGAAGTAAAAAGAAAAGTAATGTCTAGGCTCAAGTAAAGTTGCCACCTGAACATTAATAATTCAAGACACATTTTTACCAAGGGCCTCATCCACAGAGACACTGTCCAGTGATAGGAAGAACTCCTCACTGGATGCTGGGAAAGGCCTAATTATATGACATACCCCAAAGCACTGAAAAACCGCAAAGGGCTGGCTCCCGACGTGTCAGTTTCTCTTACCGTAGAGTGGGATCGCCAGCTGTCGCCGGAAGAGACTGTGCACTTTCTCCAGCTGTGAATCAAAGGTTTGTTCCCAGTCAAAAGGGGAAAGGAAGCCAGCCATGGGCTAAAGAAGCAAATTCACAGTAAATGACAAACTTTGGTTCTTCCTACCTCAAAAAATTATTTTAACACATTGTTAGTTCAAACTAAAACAAAAAACAAAAAACTTATAACCTCTTAAACACGAGGTACTGTGTCAAATGCTGCATGAGCTGCAAAAATAAAAGTTATTTCTGCTACTAAGTGTTTATGATGGGGAGAAAACAAGAAGTACGAAGTGTATCCAAATGACTACAGTGAGGCAGCACATCGTATAAGCAAAGTACCCCACGTATCAAAGTAGCGTGGCCTGCTTTCCGCCAGTCTTCAAGGCAGAGCCCTACTGTTACGAAGGGGGGAAAAGCAGGAAGGCTCTGGAGGAGCGGGCACATGGACGCAACTGCAGGTGCTCCAGATGGGGCACAAGGAGGAAAGCGGCCCCAGCTGAAGGAGCGTCGTGTGTAAAAGTGCAGTGGCCAGAAAGTGCAAGAATGTGGAGGGGAGAGTCCATGCAGGGTTATGTCAGATCCTGGAAAGCCACAAACGTTGGCCGAAGGAGTCAGCCCGGATGCCTTCGTCAGGGAAAGCCAAAGGCACCACTGCCAATTTTTCAACAGGGACATAATCCACGTAGGGAATGGGCTAGTTTAACAATAATGATCTATTAGAGGGCATCACTATGCATCAGTAATAACTTAGTGTGTGCTCACACAGCCTAGTGGAGAGGGACAGCAATATACGCAATTGTAATCTACAAAAAGGCAACGATGATGGGGTCAATCCTCCCAGTTACTCCTCAGTGAGTTATGGGGGGAAGTGGGGGCAAGAGATAGGGTTATTCTTGCCCTGGAGTTATCCTGGAACCAGTAACTAAAACAGCAGTATCTTTAAAACATCAGGAACAGATTACTGAGCCATGTGCTTTATAATCAAAGAAACACCGTTCTTGCTGGTTCGCAAAGACTACCGGCCTCATTTCTTTTACTGCCCGCACACTCACTAAGGGATCGGTGAGACTCCGTTATGAACTAAGTTCTTCTAAGAGCACTTACAAAACCAGCCCCGAGTCCGCAAAGGCAAGCGCTGGGCAGGGGCGCAGGGCACTCACCCGGGCAGCCTCCACGATGGCACTCTCGAACTCCCGGTAGGCCTCCCAGATGGCCAGGCCTTTGGTTATGTGTAAACCGACGGATGAGAGGGCCCTTTCGAACACAGAGCGGACTTTCTCGAGGCCACCTTTCTGACCAATCCCACCAACTGAGTACTGGCCATACTCTAGCCAAATGTTTGGACCTAAAAATGAGAAGTGTTCAATTAGTGCGGAATATGAAATACCCAAATATCAAAAATGGCGCCTAAAAGAAACGTGCCCACCAAACAAGTACTGGCTCATGCAAAAAGGTAAGAGCACCATGAACAAGCATCCCGATTTACCTATACAAATACTGCAGGCTGAAAAGTGTGTACCTAAACAGTGTCCCTACCAGGTATAACAGTTGTGAGTTTATTGCGCAACAGTATATACCAGATGATAAAATCATAACAGTTTCTGATTATAAAGCTTATTTATTAAAACTGAAGGAACCTAGTAATAGATTTCAGTGAAATCTATTTCAGTTATAAACCTGAGTCATACTTCAGAAAGACTTCAAAGTGAAAGAAAAAAATTAAAAGCAGCAATCCTGTTACTACAAATCTGTATTTTAAATCTCTATTTTTAATGAGGTTTAAACAACAACAAAAAAGGCCTGGTTGCCTTGTTTCTTACACTCTTTTTAATTATGTGCTCGCCCTCACAGCTTTATGCCCAGACTAATGAATGAAGCTCTTCATGAATGGATCGATTCTTACTGTACACATTTTGTCTGTACTACTTTCAGAGGCCTGTACACGAACACTGTAAAATAAAAATACTAGAAAGCTATAGGAGCCAATTTGAGGCTTACTGTATGCTTTCCTGAGACTTGTTTTTTCACTGAAGTAGGCTTATTTCAAGAACTTAGCCAAAGTCTTAGCTACTGCTTTCACTCACCAATAAGGAGCTGCCAGACGAGCTACACACTAAAAATGGGAGTGACAGAGCTCTTGCAGGTGAAGGCCTCCGTGAGGGCTAGTCAAGGTCACAGATGGTCCACAAACAGCACCTCCATTAAGAAAAGGTAACTTTCAATAGATTACACCAGGGTCTTCCCAACATGTAAATAATCTAGAGACAAATACTACAAACAGTATTTTAAACTCAGAAAACCCAAGGGGGCAGAGTTCACAATGACTCTGAGAGACAAACAAAAGAATGTGTCACTTGATCCCAGGTTCCGAAAGAGGCTTGAAGCTTCTGCAGGAGGCCCCTCCAAAACGGAGAATTTTCACAATCTCCGAGGAGCTCAAGGGCCGTGGCCGCCTGTCCTGTCACTGCACATCAACCACCTCCCGGACAGCCTGCCATCGCTACTGAGAACGTGCTGAGAAATAAAGGAAGGCTACCTTTGGCATTTTTTTAATATACAAAAAAAATTAAAAACTAAAAAGCAAAGAGTAGAAAATTAATTAAAAAGAACCCTAAACAGCAGGCAAAAGTGGCTTCTGACCATTCAAAACCAGTGACACCATTTCCACGGACTGAAGCTCCTGAAAACAACACAAGGACCCTGCAGCTCCTGCCCAGAGTGACCCATGAGACCCAAGCTAAGGAGCGTGGTTATCTGAGCCCGCAGCCCCAGGGCCGCTGGGGAGGGGAGGGCCGCTGGCACCGGCACTGAGCAGCGGGGTGGCCTGACAGCGGGGTGACTGCAAAGCCACAAAGGACCGAAACGCATCACAGCCTGGGGAGGGATAAGAGAGCCTTGGAGAAAAAGAGCAGGTGCTGTTAACGGCGACGCGGAGTCGTTAGGAAAGGGGTAACTGGACACGCAGAAAACATGGGACATCACGCACCCGAAACCGTCAGATTCTCAGAGGCCACAGGGGCGGCAGCACCCGAGCAGAGGCCCGTGGACGGTGTTTAAGAGCACGTTCAGTGTAACTTTACATTCACAGAACACCTATTATTCTCATTATAAGAAGTAGAAAACCGACATCCTTCTTGGCTGGTAAAGGTGCAGAGAATCCTCTCCCTCAGGCAGTCTGTCTTCTAAGAGGCCATGCCTCTCACGAGGGGAAATGCCCACAGCAGAGACGGGGGAATCAGATGGAGGAGGAGGATGTTTAAGGAAAACAGAGGGGGACTTTCTCAATGCTTTCTAAAGCATTTTGTCCACAGCAGTATCTGCTGAGGTCCCCTGGGTGTGCCGAGACAACAGAGAATTAACAATCAACAGGGGAGGGGGAAGGGACTTAGAGGAAGGTTAGGACTCCACATGTCACTTGCACTGGTAAAATGTCAGCGCCAGGAGCCGGGGCGAGCTCTGTGGGGACGGAGGCTTCTGTGTCTCGAACGCAGTGGTGGCTACCAGAATCCACACAGAACTATAAACACACGTCATACCAAGTTCCATTTCCCAATTTTGATATGTACATACTAATGTAATATGGCATTGATGAAAAATAGATAAAAGTACGTACACAGGACTTCTCTGTGCTGTATTTGCAATTCCCTGTAACTATGGAATTATTTCAAAATAAGTTTTTCTGAAGTTTTTAAATACTTTTTAATTGCATTCTGTCCCAAACTTCTGAAATAATTCAATGTGTAAAAGGTGATCTTTAGTCATCAGGAAACAGCATGTAAATTTTTCCTGCCAGATAAATGCTGGGTATGAGTATATTCATCTACTCCCTACAAATACCTCCCCTACTTGTACAGCAGACCTCAGAGACACTGCAGGTTCGGTCCCAGACCACCGCAATAAAGCAAATATCGAAATAAAGCAAGTCACAGGAAGCTTCTGGTTTCCCAGTGTGTATAAAAGTTATGTTTACATTACACTATAGCCTACTAAGTGTTATGTCTAAAAAATATATACATACCTTAATTTAAAAGTATTTTATTGTTAAAAACCGCTAACCTGAGACTGTTGGAAAAAATGGTTCCGAAAGACTTGTTCAACACGGGGTTACCGCAAATCTTCAATTTGTATTTTTAAAAAAAGGAAAAGAAAGAAACAGTATCTGTGACGTGTAATAACGCGAGGTGCAATACACTGTGGTACGCCTGTATTTTAAAACCAAGTGTCTTCCACTGAAACCCACAGATGATGATGACGGTAAGTGAACTGAAACCTTCCCGACTGCTCGACCGGCAGTCTTTTCTGGGGGGTCGCACCCCACCGTGCGATCCAGGACAGCAGAGACGGACGCCGGGGGCCCCGCCCGATGCCCTGCACAGCGCCCGCGGCACTTACAGACGTAATCCTTCACGGCTCTCTCGAAGAGGTCGTACACGCGCTCCCGGTCCAGGCCGTCCAGGGCCGTGCTGATCTCGTCGTGCAGCCACTCCAGCCACAGCTCTGCAAGACAACAGCGCCTCCCGCGTCAGCCCTCCCTCAGCAAGGCGCCCCGCGAAGCAGGGATTTTGCTGCGGGTCGTCAGCATGCAAACTTCCCGTTCATCGTTATTCGCCCTGTTCACAGAAATTCAATTCTTAACATCTGCACCAGGCACACAGAAGGTAACGATCCCGGATAAGATCAAATCCCTACAGTCCCAGTATTCCACACCTGCTGGGCATTTTCCATTTGGCAAACCTGGGCCCATGAAAGCAGCGTGACTGCTGCCGCGTTACCTTCAGTCAAAGGGAAGATCTCGCTCATCTTCTGGCGGGCCATCCTCACTTTGGTGAGCTCCCCTTCCAGCCGGAGCAGCCGGATCAGGTCCACGTGGCAGTTGTAATCGTAGACGTTGATAGAAAGCTAGAGGGAAAAGAAACAGAAGTCAACATTTAAAATGTCATCATCAAAAGAACAGCGTTTTTTTCACCACTGGTGACAATGTACATGCCTGTCACAAACAAAATAAATGTGTATTCTGAGAAAGCCTCTGAAATAGAAATGAAATATTTACCCTCGAGGGGAAAAATCAATAAAGGAGGCTTTTTAAAATAACCATAAAGAAGTTCTCTCAAGTCTGTCATAATTCCTGTCAGAACACACTTGGTTCTCTCTGAAATACAAGAAACATTCTAATGAAACAAACACAACGTGTAACTTTTGGCAAGTTATTAACTTTTCTAAGCCTCCAATTCCTCATCTATAAAATGGGGATGCTACTATGTTGTAACTCATAAAGTTCTTGTGAGGATTTTAAAGATAATTTAGTAATGGGCTTTAGCATTTACAAGGTAAATAGGTAACAGCTCTTTTCTTTTACTAAACAAAAAGAAAGAAAAGGTCTCTACTGGTAAATACAAGAATAACAACAGGTTGATAATCTGTTGAAGCTCAGTGAAAGGCACACAAAGGTTTATTTTTATGTTTGAAACTTTTCGAACTAAAAGGTAAAATAAATAAGTGCTTAAAAAGCTATCATACATCTGAGACAAAAGGAAACTAAAACAATTTGTTCTTCAAACAGAAAGGAAATGATTAAAGAGACCTTGGTACCAGTGAGAAAGAACAGAAACAGCAGAAATGTGGGCAAGCACAATAACTGATCCCACTCCTTATGTTTTCTGAAATGTATGTGATAGCAAAAGTTTCAAGACTACCTGATGCCCAAAACAATAACATTTAAGAACAGCCCTGGCAGGTGTGGCTCAGCGGACTGCGCGCCAGCCTGCAAACGGAAAGGTCGCGGATTCCATTCCCTGCCCAGGCACACGCCTGGGTTGTGGGCCAGGTCCCCAGTTGGGGGTGTGCAAGAGGCAACCCACTGTTTTTCCTCTCCCTCTCACTCCCCCTCCCTTCCCTTTTCTCTAAAACTAAAATTTTTTAAAAATCTTTTTCTAAAAGATTTTATTTTTCAGAGAGAGGGGAAGGGAGGGAGAATGAGAGGGAGAGAAACATCAATGTGCGAGAGAAGTAGTTAGCTGGGTTTTAGGAAGAGCAAAGTAGAAGGGGCAAGCAGAGCAATGCGCTGAGAGACGCCCACAGACCTGCAACAGCACTGACGAAGCTCTACCTCTCACATGACGGGTGGGGTACGTGATGTTCATCTGATTACCATACTTTATAATTTACAGACATGAACTGTGTATCAATTCAGATACAAAAAGATAAAGAAAAATCAGTAACAGATTAAGAGCATGACCTATGAATTCTGTTAAAAATCGAAAGACATTTAGCAAGGTTCTCCTGCTCGTGATTTAGAAAACTTGACAAGCTGGACCCATCCCACGATCATGTGATGCGTTGAAAAAGAGCTGGACCAGGTGAGGACCGAGCGCTCCAATCCCCACTGGCTCTGGGTCCGTACTGTGCCGGGAACGAGCTGGAGTAAACCGCTGGCTCTCCAGTGGGCTATCGTGACACACCCAAGTTTCATACCTGACTGTGAAGTATGTCGAACAAGTGACAACAGTTAAAGAAAGTTAACTTTATGAAAAGATGTACTGCCCTCATTCAGGAACACTCTAGATTTTCCCTGTCACCCCATCAACTCACAGTGCACATGGGTTTGAACATGTTTTCTGGGCATGAAAAGGGGTGGGAGAGTCCTTACCAGTGAGTCCGAGGACGTCTCTGCAAGTGTCCCTCACGTGGACACCGCGTGTAGGTCAGAAGAAAAAGAGATAAAAGTCACTGAGGTAGAGGAACTCCCTCTAAAATGATTTTTGGTCTAAATTTCTGATTTTTAGGCCAAAATAATGAAGATAACGTGTATGGGCAGTGCTCTGAAAGTTTGTACGGTACATGCACACTGAGACGCATTTTAAAGAGACTTCCGCAGAGCTCAACCAGTACCGCCAGCGAGCACACACGCTGGTCTATTCTGGTCTCAGATCATTAACAACAAAGGACGCTTTAAACAAAAAGGCGGCTTAGCCAAATGCACAGTGACCTGCTGATTCCCTAAGTCCCTAACAGCACAATCTGGACGTGGAGTGGGGGTGGGGAAATCACAGACAGGCCTTGTGCAAGGATACATGCTACCACCATAGGAAAGGCAGGGAAAGGAGAGAGAAGAGAGAAGAAAGGAGCACGTTTTGGCATGGCACCTACTATGTGTCAAACTCTGTCAGCAGCTTTACACACATTGTATCACTTAAGGTCCACAACAGCCCCATGGGGGAGGCACTATAACAACCCTCATTTTACCACCTGGGACAGACACCATAGGCTCCAACAACTGAAATAACTGTGAGAAATCATTATGTGTCACCTGCCATTTCAGGACAAACACAAATAATAGGAAAGCTCTGCCTTTGCTGCGTGGACAGATACCGCAGCTAACTGCGAGCTTCCATAAAATACCCTCAGGGATGAGAACTGGAAATTGCAAAGGTGCCCCCTGAGTTTTCTGCAGGCCCATCTAGAAGGTGTTCAACATTACGCCCAACCGTAAGAGCAGTTAAAGCAGCAACTAGAGGCTGTGGGATCAGAATGAGGTGAGGGTAAGTTCAGAAAAGTCCATTTCTAAACCCCAGGCCAAAGAGGATAAAGCCAGAGCTCAATTCACCATCCCGTGGCAGATCCCATCCTTTCTGAGCTCTATTCCACCCCCAGTGGCCTGAGGCAGGGCACCAGTACCCAAGAGCCCCCCGGCTCTGACTCTTCCGCCTCCTTAGTCAGTGGGGTCCCCTCCACCAAGGATTTCACCTCTCTGCTTCCAAGCTTCCCCTTCCACAAAACAGACAAGCCCACTTCCCCAACCTCACGGAACAGTAAGATCCAAGTGCACTTAATGGCTCATTGAAAGACTGAAGAACAGCTTTTCACCAGGACAGGGACACAGCCTGACACCCGACTATCACAGGGCATTTGCCGAATGAACAAGAGACTGAATGGACACGCGCATATTAATTTATAAACAGCAGAAATGGTAACCACCTGTCCACCCCAACTGGTTCCTTTGACATTCAGATGTGAGAAGTGGGACAAACTATACCAGCGATTTTCAACCTTTTTCATCTCGTGGCACATAAACTACTAAAATTCTGCAGCACCCCAAAAAATACACAAGTATATTTTGCCAATCTGACAAAACAAACAATAGATATAATTTTATATCTATTCATTCACACCAGACAGCTATTGTTGTGTTGGCTGATGTCATTTTTTATTTGACAATCTAAGGAACAGAGGTTGGTGCCCGAGTAAATAGTCGGAGGCTGCATGTTTTAAAAATTCTTCTGGCGCACTGGTTGAAAATCGCCGAGTTTGAGGATACCGCCATTTCACAACGTGAGGGCAGTATCACTGCCAGGACGACACTACGAGGACTCTCCCACTCAGCAAGGTTGACTGACCTAGGTTCACAATTTCACATCACGGAGTGATTTCACATCCAGTGCGGCATTTGGTCCCCAACCTTGAAAAGTCCAAATCCCTTTATGAGTGATGTTGAACAAACCATCTTATCATTTGTTCTGAACCCGTTTTCTCGGCAGTAAATGACAATGAATGTGTACGATCTGTTTGCCCCTCCAAATCCCCTGCACTTTCTCCTCTGCCACGCTGTGTGGCCCCCACAGACGGAGTCTCCGGCTCCCTTTCTTCCAGCAGGGCTTCCCCAGCAGAAGGTATCAGCAGGTGTTTGTAGAGAGGAAGAGAGGCAGGTCAAGGTGCTTCTCCCCCACACCCCAATCCCTGATAGGAAACTTGGGCTGCACCCCTTGACCAAAGGTCTGGGCTCCGCTCAGGTGCCCCAGCCAGACGACCTTTCTAAAAACCAGTCTCTCCCCTCCCCTCTTCAGGCCTTAGGGCGAACACAGGCCCTGCTGCGCCTGGCCCTGGGATCCCAGCGGCCCCCCGCCCCCCCCCCCCCTCGCCTCCTGATTTCCCTGCCCACACCTGCAACAAACACTCTAGGCCCTTCATTCACTTTTTCTGAAATCACCCTAATTTGGAAGTGCCACCATTTCCTGCTCGGACCCCGGATGACACAGGCGTTAGCAGATCAGAGATCACGGAACAACTAGGTGACTGTTAACTATTGTTAGGGCAATTAGATGGCGAGGGCATCTCTGCTCCCAATTTAGACGAGGAAGCTGAGACTCAAAGGAATTAAGGAATCCGCCCCGGTACGCACAGGTGCGGATCATCCACGGCTGCGGCCTCAGCCTCCAGACGCTGAAATCTCTACTTTTTCCTATCCAGTATCACCCCCGTGATTGGTGTTATTTCCTATCACACTACGACGAGAATATTATTTCAGCTGCTAAACGTAGTTCAACGGTGTGGTTAGGGGACGGGGTTGGGAAGCCGGTTCCAAGTTCAAAGCCCGACTCCCCACTTGCCGGAAGGATAACCTTGAGCCGCAAGATTCCCTGCGCGAAGCGCCTCCGTTTCCTCGCGGAAAACGGGGACCGCCCGACGGCCTCGCCGGCTCCTTGCAAGACTTCCATGGGATAATGCGTGCAAAGCCCCAGGCACCAGCAAGCGTCCCAATGACGGGAGCTACGGTGATTGATAGCGGTTTTGCGGCCCTGGCGGCTTCATTACCGCTCAGGGCCGGGGAGGACGGCCGAGGCCTGGGAACCCGCGGGAAGGAGCCCGCTGCCCACCCCCGGGCGCACCTGCTCCTCCAGCCGCTCGATCTCCAACTGGTTCTTCTCCTCCTCTTCGTCGTACTCCCACTCGTACTCGCCGGGGGAGCTCGCTGAGGAAGCCGTGGGGTACTCCTCGTCTCCATCGCTCTCACTCACGCCTTCCTCCTGCTGGTCCCACGCTGGCCCTGCAGTCTTGTACGTCGCAGCGGCCACAGCCCGCGACAACACCTTCCTCCTGGTCCTAGCCGCCTTAACCTCATCCTCCTCGCCCTCAACCTCGGGCCCCGCCTTGGACTCGGCCTCGGGTTCCGAAGCCGATGTTGCGGCTGCCGTCGCCATCTTGCGCTAGTGACTCCCGGGTTTTCACTCCGCCGCCGAAGACCCGCTGAAGCCCAAGCTGCCCGCGGCGCGCGCCTGACCGAAACCTCGCTCTCTTGCCCCCTGAAGGGAAAACGTGAGCCTCGGATGACGGGGAAATACCTAAATACACGCAACTTACTTTATTTTCATTACTTTTGTAAAAGTTCTCGTGAGAAAAAAACTCACTACTAAGGCATGCGTTCCGTCTCAACTTCGGACAGAGTTGGGTCTTTGGGCAGGAAGTGGAGGCCATTAGAGGAAGTCATGGGGGGAGCGTGATGACTGTAGTTAGGGGTTTGGCGCCATCTTGGGGAGGTCAAAAATGATTCTGAGAATAAATGCCTTACTTGTCTCCTAGTCTGACCTGGTGCGTGGTTCAAGTATTCCCAGCAATTGAGCCTCAAATGCAGAGAAAACCCCAAATTCCCAGGGATCGATTGCGCCATTCATGAGAAAAACCCATTTCCCAAAGAGAATCCTCCCTTTTGTTATTATGCCTGGTGCCTAGTAGGCGTTAAGTTCACGTGTGAGTTTTCTCGAAGATCATATTCTACAAACCAATATAATAAATTACATTACATTAAGCGTTTAATTAGAAACGTTCAATTGCCAGGTATTACCATAGAACTTGAATTTACTGTTTATACAGAAAAGACTTTTAAACCAGAACATGGTGCTCGCTCCTTTTTAGTCAATCTTCCCATTTTGAGGTAGGAAGTATAGGTGTTTGTTGCCTTTCTTCTTCACAAGTAAACTTAATTACGTCTATTTTTCTTTCCGATGAATTCCCAAGGCCTAATATAGCACCTTGACTCATGGTAGGTACTCAGTACTTATTTGCCCATGAATGAATTGTCCTTGATGAATTACGTATTACAAAAGATCCAGGCTTAGAGAGCTGATGTCATTTGCCTAGGGTCACACAACCTGGACAATGCAAAACCAGGATTCTAACTCAGTATTGTCCAAATGTGAATCCCAAGTGAATCTAGCTCTCTGAGCAACCTTGGGCAAGTTACCAAACCGTTCTGAAACTGAATGTCTTTAGCTGCAAATTGGGGTTAAGAAAGGTGGAACTGGTTGATCCTCTGAGCGGTATTCCCGCGGTGGGCTTTGAGGACGTAAACTTGGGTCCCGCACTCCAGCCAGAGACCAAGCCTCTCACGTCCAGAACCCAGTAGGGGAAACATTCCTCCAGCGACTTCAGACCTTCCCGCTCTGCGCCCCGCCTTCCCCCAAGGGGCGTGGTCGAAAGCCAACACGTGCACGGAACGGGAGGGCGCAGGCCTGAAATCGCGTTGACGCCCTAGAGGGCGAGCGCCTCCTGCCAGGAGTCGACTCGCGGGAGCGCCCCTCCCCTCGGTCTACTCGTGGCCTGCGCAGGCGCAAGGCCGCAAGATGGCGGCGGCTGGAGCGGGCCGTCTAAGGCGAGCAGCGTCGGCCCTGCTGCTCCAGAGCCCGCGCCTGCCGGCCCGGGAGCTGTCAGCTCCGGCCCGGCTCTATCACAAGAAGGTAGGGGCGGGCAAGGGGGGGGTGTGGAGTCCGCAGCGATCAGGGGCCGGGAGTACTAGAATCGCCGAGGGGACCTATGCGTGCCGGCGCCGGCCGGAGGCCCATTCTAGAGAGGAGTGGCCGCGGGATTCTGCGCCGCTTGGGGAGCCCCTGCTAGGGCCCGGGGTAACGACAGCCCCCCCGCCCGGGATAGAGGGGCCGCCCCCTGTCCCGATTCTGCCTCAACTTCCCTCGCTGCGCAGTGATACTAACCGCGCAGGAAACAAATCTGTCCGCGGGCCCTGCCGCTGGCTGCCATCGTGCCTCCCAGCCTTTAAACACCCAAACAACCCAGGAAGGAGGATCCTGTTATGACCTGCTAGCCCGACTCCTGGAACAGACACACAACCGGACGGGCTCCGGCTTCAGCCAGGCCGCTGCCCTGGCCAAGTGACCTTGGGAAAGTCGCTGCCCTTCGCTGAACCTGTTTTCCCATTTGTAAAGTGGGTATCTTAGAAGACCCCTACGCAAGCAACTGCTTGTAGATTCCTCCGCACGGTGCCTAGCCCCTGGAGACCATTCATGGTGCCGCTGTTGTTCCTTATAGCCTCCGAGTGGAGTCACACACATAACCAACAACAGTCCTGTTTTCATTTTCATGTCTTGTTTGGGGGCAGGGGGTAGGGATAGGTGTGTGATTTGTATCTCGTGCCTTCTACGGGCGTAAAGTCTCTTAGGAGACTGTAGAACTCGGGGAAACAACGAAAGAATGCGGTAAATCAACATGGGGCAAAAAGTCCAGATTGGACATTACCTTGTAGGTCCCTTCGGCTTGGAGTTAATATCCCTGCCAGATCGGTAGGGGAAGAGGGGCTGGACGACCGGTATACCTACGGCTAACTAGTTAAAAACCTCAAGGCTAGTAGAGCCTTCTGTGTGCCCGTTTGAGTAGACATTTACTGTGTTTTGGCTTCAGCTCATCTCCAAGGACTTTGCTCCTCCCCCACCCAGGGGTGTGTTTTGTTGACAGCACATGCTGAATCGATCCGGTCTGGCAGCCTTCTAGCCACCAGGGGGCGCTGCTGCACCTGGGAGATTTCAGGACCCTGAAATAGCGAACTGAGCTTATCATCAGACACAATTGGACACGTTCCTGGCGTTGTTCCTCTGTCACCGTCTACTTGAGGCTTCTGGGAAAGCCTTCGATTTATGGACCATAGTTGCTTTTAGAACTTTTTAGTAGACATTATCCTTTGAGAATAATTTTATTTGGAAATAACAAAAGTGCCATTTGAGCCCAAATCTGGTGATTTAGGTTGGTAAAGGTCAAATACTTATATGTAGTTAAAAACCCTGTGGAACTAAAACATAATTTTCCTCCAGTATCACACATTTTTTAAGGTAATTGGAGAGGAGATGCAAAAAGACTTTGGGTCACCAATGGTTCTCATTGACATGAGGTGAAATGTGGTACTTAGTGATGGCCTGCCAAGCTCAGGTTGCTGACATTGAGCTTACCATCAAGTCAGTACCAAAAAGGCGTGATGTAATTTTTCTCTTAACTCTCTCATTTTAGGTTGTTGATCATTATGAAAATCCCAGAAACGTCGGGTCTCTTGACAAGACAGCTAAAAATGTTGGAACTGGATTGGTGGGGGCTCCAGCATGTGGCGATGTAATGAAATTACAGGTACCGCTGGTTTTCATTTGTAATGGTAACAATGGTAACCGGTTTGCTTACACAGTGTATGGAGCATTTGCCTACACCATTTCATCTGGTCTCCATTTTGATGCCTGTGAACTGGGATGAGTCAGTGTTATAAACAACCAGAGCAGAGCCTGAATCCTAGTTCTTCTGCTGGTACACTACGCTGACCCTGTCTGATATAGTAAAACTGATCATGCTGTTCTACCCACTGAATCAGCTTAAATTCCAACGTCCGCTAAGTAAAAGTGTCTTTGAATTTTAGTGACCAAAGGAAAACCACAACCGTTGAGCTAGCAATCCCCAGTGAGAGAAGAAATCTGATAAATCAAACCTCCCCTAAGCTGAAGACAGCAGGAAGGTAGTGACTGGCACTCTGGGTAAACCGTAGCCTTGTCCACAATCTACTTCATCATGGTGGGTGGGCGGCTTGCCAGAGTCTCCATGCCTATCTTAGAAAAGAGAAACAAGGCGGGGCAGAACCACTAAACGCAATTTGGTGTCCAAGGAAAAAAGCATTAACTAGAGCCCAGGAGTGCAGACTTTCCCAGTGCTGTAGGAGGCAGATGGACATGGCAGCCATGAGCAGAACTTCATAGCCCAAAGCAGGCCCGGGTTACCAAAACAACCTCAAAGGGTGCATATTTTCCAGCTGATCTTTACCAGCTAGGCTTACATAATCCTATGTAATGGTTTATTAACTTTCCTGTGTTTATTAACTTCCCATCACTGAACTCTTCAAAACAAACTCAGTAATTAATGCCTAAACTTAAAGCGTGGAAAGCAAGACCAAAGCTCTTGGGAGAGCCCCTGGAAGCCTCTGTAAGCGGCCTACCCCCTGTCTCTTTTCTAGATTCAAGTGGATGAAAAGGGGAAGATCGTGGATGCCAGGTTTAAAACGTTTGGCTGTGGTTCTGCAATCGCCTCCAGCTCGCTGGCCACCGAGTGGGTGAAAGGAAAGACGGTGAGGTGGCTCACAAACCTGGCAGGACTGAGTCACATGTTCCACAAGCGTGGCTCTCAGTTAAGGGGAGGGTATGATGGGTGGGGGAAGAAAAGTAACTAGGATGTTTAAATTCTCCTACCCAGATTTTTATTAAATTCTTCTGCGCCTTGGGGACAGTGAATCATTTTACTAAGTGTTTTTTAGTTTTTTGGGGGGGAGGGGGTTTCCGTGGTGTTTTGTCCCTAAGTAAATAAAAAAAAAGATCCTGGCCTCTCCATCTAACAAAATGGAGCTTAAAAGAAATCTTTGGCTTCCTCCAAGGTTGCTGGTGTTGTTATAATTGCTTAGGAATCTCGGTCAGGTCAGGGGGCGTTGTACAGTGGTTTGTTTTCTTGTTTGTTTCCTCCCATGTGTTTCGGGAAGGATTGCAGGTGGCTTTTAAGGATTCCAGAAATAGCAAACTGGCCTGTGCTAAAGAGTGACTGAAGAATCAAAAACATGTTGGGGGTAGGGGCAAAGTGAACAAATTCATCCAAAAGTGATGCAGGCAGCTGGTCACAGGCCTTCTGAGGGCGGAGAAAAGAAAGGCTGGAACATCTTCTCCACCCTTTTCTCTGCCTGAAGCCTCTTTCCCCAGCAGCTGCGGAAATAGAAGGTCCCAAGCCCAGTGAAGAAGTGGGCTCTCTCAATTCTAGTCGTTAAAACCTCCCAGAAAAGCCCAGCTGCAGCCTGTTTGTCCTTCTAACCCCAAGGAACCTAGTTCAGGGAGCTGAGTCACGGAGAAGAGTGAGTGTGGAGCTGGGCACCTGAGAGCAAAGCGGAGCGCCATGCCACGGGCCACCTGCTCTCTGTGGCACGGGGCCCCCTGGCTGACAAGCTCCTTCGGGCCAAAGAGGCACACGCCTGACCTGCTCCGGCAAGAGGCGGCTCTGCAGTGATTTGTCAACAGCTGTCTGCAGGGAAGGGGAAAAAGCAGGCTGGGCACCTGTGCTCCCAGGACCTGACTCTTAGGGGCCTTTGAGTTGTGATCAGAAAATGGAGGAAGAGGGCCTTCCTTTGATCTTGAGATCTTCCCATCCGAGTTTCCAGAAACAGAACTGAACTCCTAATTCAGTGGTGTTAGCAGAATTGGCAGATTAGGGGAACAGAAAGATGGGGGAGTTTGGCTCTTCTTCATCCAGTGGGACTCTGTTCCCCAAGGGCAACGTTCTGCCCTTGGGCCCTGACCACGCCCCGGACCACAGCCTGTCTCCTTGCGGCACAGGAAGGGCCTACGGAGAGCTCTGCGCCCCCGCCCGCCTGCACCATGGTCCCACTGCTGCCGGCCTTTCCGACAGCCTGCGGCTTCCCAGCGCCCTCAGCACTTCTCGCTGAAGGGACTTTTCAGCAGGGAAGCTGATATTCACAAAACCAGCATAGGAAGTCACTGCCTTTTTAAAAAAGTCTGGTGTTTCTGGCCCCTGGCAACTGATTCCTAAGAGATTTCCCACAGGGTCTCTTCTTGACTCAAAGAAGTGTTTCTGCACCCTTGCTGAGCCCAGCCAGGCAGCACCACTGGGTACACTGCCCACCTGTGGCCTTGACACGCATCACGTGGGGGTCCTGAGAAGGTCCTCAACCTTTGCTTGGGGTTATCAGCAGAAACCATCCCCCAGCACCCTGCCCTGCGGCCTTCCCTTTTTATTGTCTGTCCATCTGTCCCTCCAGACAGCACACACTAACGCTGCTTCTTCCCTCCCACGCGCTTCTCAGGTGGAGGAAGCCTTGACCATCAAAAACACGGATATCGCCAAGGAGCTGTGCCTCCCGCCAGTGAAACTGCACTGCTCCAGTAAGTCTCAGCCCCAGGATGCCGGGGGGCGGGGCCTTGAACTGGAGTCCCCTTGCAGTGGTCGCAGAGTGAGGACAAATCCTTAGTGGTCACGGAGTCCGCCTTTCTGACCTCCGGGGCGGGAGACCCCGTCCCACAGCCCTCTCTGGGAGAGGCTCAGAGGAGGTGGTGGGTGCCCGGCCTCGGGCTGAGAGCCTCGCAGCACCATTTGCAAACCTCGGCAACGTCCTCCAGGCCACAGGAGGCGCTGCTGCCTCTCCGCCTGACAGATGAGGACACTGGGGTTCAGGTCAAAGCGCCCGCCGCAAGGCTCCCACGTGAGACATCCAGGCTGCGGGCCCCGACCTTTGATTCCAGAGTCTGCCATCCCCACTGCATAGTAGCAAAGTTAGGACCAGCAGAGGAGAAAATTCGCTTTTACCACAGTCCTGTTCGCTGTGTGCCTCGTCACTTCTGTCCACGTGCGGTTGCCATCAGGGTCTGCATCTGCGTCTGCAGAAAGCCTGAGCCCCGCCAGACACTGTTCCCTCCACACCATCGTGAGAGAAAGCCCAGGTGCCTTAAGACTGACACTGGGCTGTCCAGTTCAGTCTCTGCCTTAAGCCAAGGCCATTTCCCTCTTCCGCAACCTTCTTGAGGAAGGAGGGAAGGAGAAACAGCATCCTTAACAGAGTGTTGGAGGTTTACTGACCAAATTAAATTAGTTAAAAATCGGCAGAGCCAGGCCTCTTGCCAGGGGAAGGCTCCCAGAAGAACTGAGTGGGGATGGGCACGCTAACGCCGTCTTCAAGCAGCCCGCTCAGCCCCGAGTTCTTAGTTGAGCTGGAGTTGCAAGTACCCATGAACAAAGGCCATAGCTTGTAAACATGTTCGCACGGCTCCAGACCAAGCCCGGCCACCTCGCTGGCCTTCGTGGGCGCTGAAACCTTGTGATTCAAGGCCGTCTGCTGTTGGCTTGCTTTGCGCTGTCATTCCAGCTCTCTCGACTTTTACTTTCCTCCACAGCTTCACTCCTACGTAAGCGTTCAAATTTAGAATCACTAGAGAGTGGGTACATTACGTCTGCCAGCTTACCCAGCCTCCACGACGTCTACTCCAGGCTTCCCCGTGAGAACTAACATTTGTTGGGTCCCTGCCGTGTGCCTGCCACATTCTGTGAGCTCTCACACTGCCCCAGCGAGGAAAGCATGTCTGTCCATTCTTACAGGAGAGAAAGTAGGCCCACAGAGACTCAGAAACTAACCCGAGTCCCAGGCATTTAACCGCTACGCTGCCACCAGAGCCGCCACAGGGGGAACCTGGCTCAGGAAGTGGCCAGGCTCCGGCCCGCTCTGCCCGCAGCACCCTGGCGAGGGGCGCCCAAGCCCTGCCCAGCCCCGCTGCCCTCCAGTTTGCAGAAATTCCATCCCTGAGACTCTCTCTTGTCTGGAAACTTAGCCTGTCTTTCCTTCCCTTCCTTCCAGTGCTGGCCGAAGATGCAATCAAGGCTGCCCTGGCTGATTACAAATTGAAACAAGAACCCAAGAACGGAAAGGCAGAGAGCAAGTGAGCCCCTGGCAAAGCTGCCTGCAGGACGCCTCTGCCGCTTGCCCGCCTGCCCGCCCGCCGTGCAGCCTCCGGAGAGTTCCCGGTGGCAGAGCCACGCCCGCGCACAGCCTTCGCTGCTCTTGCTGTGGCTCTGATGCACGCAAAATACACAGTTTAAATGCTCTGGGTCCTGTGGTTTCTTTCAGCCCCCCTTTTATTGTCTTAATCCAATTTATGTTTATTCTGAACTGTGCGTATGGCCTCAAAACTGCCACCAGTAGTGAAGTCTCGAGTTTTGCTAGTCCATGAAGGGCACAGAGGTCAGTTTTACCTGAACCTATTCAGAGGAAGATTGCCAATAGAACGCCTTGGTGTGGTTATTTGATGGAACTGAGTATTGTACATAAAACAGATCTGCATATATATAATAAATAAAATAATGGAAGACATTGGTTTCCTTGGCTAAGCCTTGTCTCTTGGATACCTCGCCCCAAAGTACTGCCCAGAGCCCCTTGGGGCTCCCTAATGCTGGACCATAACACACCTCTCCGAGCAAACTGGGTGGTAAAGACTATGTACAGAGGCTTCTACAAAGCTAAGTGTCCTGTTTTAGGAGACGAGGGTGAAGGTGAAGGAAATGGCCCTCACGTTTGGTTGCTTTTTGCAAAACCATAATAGATTGACAAAGCAGTAGTTCCACTAATTTGTGAAATCCTGAAATCTGACAAATGCTGGCTTGGACAATACCCTAAAGCTTGGGCCAAATACAGGTAAACAGAATTCCAGGCCCAGGGATGTGCTGTAGGTGTGGGAAGGTGAGCCTCGCCACGGGGCGGAAACGCCTCTTGTCCCGCTCTGCCCTCCGCAGGCGTGGTGTTTCCATAGACGTTCTGAGCTGCGTGGGTGAGTACTGCAAGCGGAAGGCAGAAACCTCCATCCCTGGCTCAGGCATGAAGAACAGCCGTGCTAGGCGCTGTCCCTCTCCCTTGTCTCCCCCGAGGCTGACGGGCAGACTGCTGCAGCCTGCTGAGGCACCCACGGTCACGCACAGCCAGAAGCCCACAGAAGGCGGCCTGATTTTCTCATGAAAACGTGGCACTGAAATTCTGGCTAAGCCTCAAATCTTCAACTCTTCCAAAGAAAGATATGTTTGTCTTTCCTGATGGTGGCTTTTTTGCTCAGGCATAGCTAGCTGCCTCTTCTCTCTTAAATATACCTCCTCTAATTAAAAAAAAGTGTATTTTTTTATATATACATATGTATGTATGTAATTAAAAGTCCTCTGGGTTCTAGGGAAAGGCACAGAACTTCACAGGCCGCTCCCTCCACACAACCTGTGGAGACCACAGAGCAGGGTCTGTATGAGGATCTCAAATTAGAGCCGCCGGGCGAGCCATGTCAAGTTGTCCTGTGTGGCATGTCTACTGTTTAATTCACAGTCCCTCTAGGCTGTGCTGGTCTCTCCCTTCTTTATTATATGTGACAACCCTACAATTCCCCACCACATTCCTTTATGATTTTTTAAATGAGATGTTTTTGTCCCAGTTAACGCCCTCCGAGAGCTGAAGCTGAACTGTACACATCAGACGGCACTTACTCGTATAAACAACCAAAACAGTGTTACCAGAATAGCCCAAACCTCAAACTATGTGGCGGTGTAGCTAAAAGAAATGAGAACTTTTTTCAAATTGACGTTACAGCGCTCCGGTGCCCAGACAAATCTAGTTTTAACCACACGAGGGCACCGTGGACCCTCGGATGAGCTGAAGTCTAGAGTTTATTCTGTCTCCAAGCGGGTCTTGACCTCTTCCCGCGCTGTCGCTGCGGGTGCCGGCCCTTCCCCGGATTACCCGTCTGTAATCCTGTCGGTTCTCTTGACAGCCCCCTGAGGCTGGTTTCAAACAACGGTACTTGGCTCAAGAGGTCAGCTGACTCAAGCCGCTCACCCGGGCTGGGTGACCCTACAGCTCACGCTGCTCCTGCCAGGTTTCCTTCGGGCAGGACCGACCCAGACCCAAGGTTCTGACCAGGCACCCGAGGCTCACCTGCGCCCTGAGTATTTGCATGAAGAAGGCTAACCAACAGGGGGAGCCCAATTCATTCATTTGGCCACTCACCACCAAGCAGCCCGGCCCGGGCCCTGGCTCTGGCTGCGCACTGGAGCCATCGTGGAGCCCAATTTCCTCCCGATGCCCACTTAAATCCAGAGCCATGGGGGCAGGACCCAGGCCCGGGGTCCTGTAAAAGTGCCCCAGGAGTCTCTGATGTGCGCTTACGGGAGGGAGCCACCACGAAACGCTGCGCACTTTACAAAGCAGTTTGCTAAAATTGCTCTGATGGATGCTTCGTCTTGTGAAAAGGTGTCACTTCCCATCTCCAAAGTGCCCTCGAGTCCCTTCCTCTCTGCCCTGCCCACCACTCCCCCACATCTGCCCTCTCCCAGGCCTCCAGGCCTCTCCCCGGGACTCCCCATCAGCCTCCCTGCCTGCAGCCTCACTGCGGGGAACCATTCCCCACATGGCTGCCACATGGGTCTCCGCAGACAAAACTTTCCCCACTCCTCTCCTTAAAACCTGTCCATGACTTGCTGTTGTCCTTTGGACAAACTCCAAACCTCCTACCCATGGCTCGCCTTGTGGCAGCCACCCTGAAGCCTGACTATAGGCCTCCGCCCATGCTGGCCCTGCTGCCGGGAAAGCCCCTGCCAAGCCCCCTTCCCTCACCTCCACGCGCCTGGGAGCCTCCTCTCCGGCATCGCCTCCCGGGGAGCCTGCCCTGCCCCTCCCTGCTCCCCAACCTCTGTGCTTCCCTCATCGTATACGTGTCAGGGACGGCATTACAGTTCACTGTTTTCTTATCTTTCTATGTCATTACTCAGAGATTGAGTCTTCCTTTTTATATATAAATTATTTTTTCAATTGTAAACAGATGACGCAATATTTTTTAACAGCCTGAAACGGAACAGCGTGATATGTTTCCTAACCACCCCAACTAATTCCTTCCTCAGACGCAACCTCTGATACTTACTTCTTAAGTGTCCTTCCAGAAATGTTCTAGGCCTACCCAAGTCTGTATGTGTAGAAATAGACCATTCTTTTTTCCTTTTTACACCAGTGGCAGCATACTTCTCACATTTCTGCCTCTTTTTATTTTCCTCTTGAGCATATTTCTCTATATCTCCTCCACACCTGCTTCATTGTTATTAATAGCTACTCAGTATTCTGTGCATGATGGTCTCTAATTTAGTCTTCTATTGATGATTGTGTAAGGCGGCTTAATGCTAATGTCTAAATTAGAGACCTCGGCATCCTGTACAGTTCTTGACTTCCTAGGGGCTCCATGAATGCGTATTGAGGAGATGGACAGATGGACCAATGGATGGATGGATAGATGCGTGGGTCGGTGGAAAGATAAGATGGTTGGGTGTGTGCATGGAGGGGCAGGTGGGTCGATGGATGGGTACATGGATGAGCAGTGGGCAGAGAGATGTGTGGGCGTGTGGGTGAGAGGGGGGATGGATGGGTGGAGAAAGAGGCTCAGAGAGGCACGATGAATTGTCCCAGATGGCACAGCCAGGCGGCAGTAGGCTAAAGCTCTCGCTGAGACGCTCTGCCCACCTCCACCCCCCTCAAAGCACCACCCCACAGCTCTGACCACATCTCTAACTTTTTCTACATGCTATTCCTGGATTTTGGCCACTTGAAAACACATAAAAATGCAGTTTTAGAACCTCGCTTTGAACGTTATCCTCTCAAAGCTAGCTATGTCTGTCACGGAACCCTCTTAAAAAGCCAAGCAAATGAGGAGGCACTTCTTGATGATTTAGGCCCCTTGAGCTTGAGACAAGATGAAGGCTCTGGGCCCTGGTTGAGTGCTCAGTGGTCAGAGCATCGTCTCAATACGCCAAGGTTGCAAGTTCGATCCCTAGTCAGGGCACATACAAGCAGCAGCCAATGGAAGCACAAACAAGTGAAACAACAAATGAATCTCTCTCTCTTTCCCTCTCTCTCTCTCTCTCTCTCTCCACCCCCCCCCCCACCAAGATTAATAATACTAATTTAAAAACTTAAGAGAAAAAAAAAAAAAGAATAGAGACTCTGTCCATCCTCGTGCCAGGACAGAAGACTCCTCGGTCCCGCTGAGACTTGATACGTGAGTTGAAGTCCTAGCCAGAAGATGGACACGGGCCTCATCAGTGGCTCTTTCTGGACTGTCTGCTTGCTCCCTCCACCCTCGAAGGTGACATCAGCCAACTCCGGAAAAAGCCACCTCCCAGAGAAGCCCATCTCCACACAGGGAGGCAGCAGGAGGGCGGAGCAGAGTGAGCTCGGCACGTCAGAGTCCCAGGGTGACTCCGAATGCCGGCTGCCGCTGTGTGACCTGAAACAAGCGCTTTCAACCGCCCCGAACCCCCATACGTTCCCCTGCAAATGGGGAACGGTAACCGTGCCCCCCTGGTCGGGCTGATGGGGCAACTGCACGAGGTCGTGCGTATCAAGCACGTGGCACATAGACAGTTCAATGTCGTTACAGCAGCTGCCACAACTGCGCTCAGCCTCAGCCCTGACTCTCCCAGGGCAGCTGCCGGGACCTCCTTTTCTCGTCACAGAAACCCTCAGTACTGTGATTATCCCATTTTACAGAGGAGGACACAAAAAAGTAAAGGGACACGTTCGAGACCACACAGCCAGTTCGTGGTGGAGGTGGGGTTCTAGGCCAAGGCTGCCGCTCTCTTCTCTCCTGCTATTCTCATTACTGTTAGCACTGGGATTATTATTACCACTACTCATAGTACCTAGTGTTGTTACTAGTAATGGTACTATCATTACTATTTTTTAAATACCATGAGCTCCAAGCTTCCCGCCTGGTTGTCTTTGCCATGGGACCAGCCCTCACAGCAAAGTCTCCAAAATTAAGCAAAGCTGTGGTCTCCCTGCACCCATGCAGGGGACACACAGGCGTAACTTCTGTCACACATGGCTTGACAGGCAAGCGCTCTCCACAGCGCTGGGCCAACCACAGGACCCGGCTACTCCCCAGGCCCAGGCTCAAACACCGCCAGCGCCGTCCCCACCCAGCTATCTTTGGAAATGTCATGTTAGCCACTCCCACCGCTGGCCTCACTTCAGAGAAGCCGGCTCTCAGAATAACTCCAAAAGCCCATTCACCGCCCCACCCCCAGT